GGCCCCCTTTTTAGACCAGTGCTCCAACATTTAGTCCTGGGAGCAATTGATTGTCAACAGATGTATGTGGTCCTGATGCTAACTGTCAGACCGGACACAAGTCCAGGTGCAGTTGAAGGTGCTAAGGGGACCAAGTGCCGTTGCTCAGTCTCATGGTGGTTGGTGACTGGCGCGGCTGACTCGTGAGTGCATTCCTGCAGTACCAAACATGGTGTGATGTCGTCGAGGGTGCAGCGTCCGAGGGTAGTAGAAGGCATAAGTGAGGGTGAATACAGGTACTCCGAAGACGACAGGGCAAATGGAGCCTGAGCGTGGCCGAAGGCCAGCCCACGTGTACAGAGGCCGAGCAACTTCTAAAGTGACCGCCAAACGTCAGGTGGTCACATAAACAAAGCATTACAGAGGGCGTTGTTGAAAAGGAGAGGGGGACAGTGTAATACTTTGTTTATGTGACTGCCTGATGTCAGGCAGCTGCTTCGGTTTCCGTCTGGTCTTCGTAAATGCCAATGAAGCCAAGATCCAATCTCTTTTGGCCTTTATGGAATACATTCAAGCAGCTGGCATAGTGCCTCCTCCAACTTAATCGAAAGTCGCAAAAAACTATAGTTATTTTTAAAATATTGCTTAGTTTTAATTAAATACATTTTCATTGCAGTAACATTTCTTAAATGTAAAATAATAAATCCAATAAATCATAACTTAGTTTAAAATAGATGCATGATTGAAAAAAGGTGCGTCAGAACATTATTAACATCCTTGAAATTCCTTTTAATGAATCAACGGATATTTGCTCACGCTAATAAAGGGTTTTGCGATTGGGGTCGTTAAGACAGATGTCATGGGGGATTTGGCAAATGATGATGACATATACGAAGGCTTTGATGCTGTTCCACCAACATTTGACGCTGGAAGCATTTTTTCCAGCCAAAATATTCAGACCGCCATAAAAACAGCTATAAGAGGAAGGAGACCCACGGTAGGCTGTGCTGATTAATATCACAATGTTTCATTTTAAGCAAAGATGTAGTTGGTTTGCCTTTCATGCTTGTTCTATGCCGCTTTCTTCGAAGTTGTGATGCGCTTAAGAAATCAAATATTCGTCCAAATATCGTACGAGCCTCCTACATTGAAATTTTACCAGTGCACCAATCTCTAGGCACATACATTTATACGTTCCATGAATCCGGTCATAGGCTTTTTGCAATTGTACTCTAAATATTCTGCTTTTGGATTTAGTAATTGTGGTTAGTTGATGTCTAGCAGTTAAGAAAACCATGCCTTACTTACTTTCTCGCCGTATTTTACATGCTCAGTGCTTTGGAATTTCGGGTGAACGTCTGAAGACAGGTTCAACCTTAGGCAATGATCGCTACCTTCCAACTAGTGAGTCGTCGAAATTAGGTGCTTGTCGTCCAATGACTTCTGTTCGCGCCGCCGGGTTTTCGTCAAGTCTACGACGTAGCACGGCTTTTGGAAAGTTCAGTGTGGACTTTTCTCCTGTTAATCATTCAGCTGCTGAATTCGGTTCTATCGGAATCAGTGCTCCTCCACTTGAACAGAAGCCTGAAGATTCCTCTGAGACTCAGATGCAAGAAATGGAAAAAAAGGTGGCATTTTCTGGCTTTCTTAAAAAATATTTTTCAAAAAATTGTGAAGAGAGAAAAGGTATCGTGGTGGTTTTATAGTGTACAAAGACTTTATTGATGTATTTTAAGCGTTCATCGAGGCTAGCGTGTTTTTTTGCAGTTTAATGAAGATTTTGGAGCTAGTTGCGGAACAAGTTTCTCAGTCTGGATTGTGCTTTGGATAATAAATGGGTTTGGCTTAAACTTTTGAATTCGCGAGTTTTTTAACGATGAGTATAAAACGGCATTTATTAGCGCATCACTTTTTTGGCTGGACGAATTCGTACAGGTCTAATAATTGCTCAGAATCGAAAATTCGTTCGTATTTACTGTGAATTTACCGCGAACATTTTTTCGACGCGATTACCAACTCTCCCATCCGGCGCATAACTCCTTTGCGTTGATCATAAGGTTTCAATTTTTAAGTGCTATATGCATCCTATTATTGCTTCTATAAACGGTACTATAGAGCCGGTCTGCCTTAAGTCTGTGCTGGATAATCGGTTAAATGTTCCGTGCTGTTTCAACGAGTTGGCCGATACCATTTCGCTTCATTCGATTATCACATTTTGACTTATCATCGGAGAACTTACTTGGTAATGTAATCTATGATGATTTAATCTTTACCGTATGTAGATGTTTTACTCCTTTTCTTCTAACACCAATGAAATGCCCTATCGACAGCAGTCGTCTTGGCGCTTACACTGCGCATTGGTGAATTTTGCCCATGTTGAATTCAAAAGACACTAAACATCTACCCATTAATAATTTGAATTTTATTTAACCTCGTAAACCTTTGTCTACCAGCGCTATTTTATGCTCTTTCAAAGTCTCGAATTTGTTCACTTTTGCATCGAATTGTAGTCGATGAATTATTAACAAATAGGATGCTCAAGTTAAATGCATTAAACAGAGTCTATTTCTATTTTACCCTTTACATTGAGCTCCTCCCTTTTTTGGTAAGTGCTTGTGGAATCTCCATCAAAATTGCAACAATTTCTCTTACGACTAAACAGGTGACGCAACTCTTTGAAGAGAGCTGTTTGGCGGCAGCTGGTGGAAATATAAGTGTAGCGCTCGAAAAGGCTAAGGAGGCCGGTCGCAAAGAGCGCGTTCTAGTGCGTCAACGTGAACAGCTGGGGATGGGGGACCAAATTAACCTCGATCTAACTTATTCCATCCTCTTCAACCTCGCCAATTGCTATGAGCTAGCAGGCTTGAATCACGAGGCACTAAACACCTATCAGGCTATTGTTCGCAACAAGATGTTCTCACATGCAGGTATGATTTATCCTTGACCAGTTGTCTCACATTTCATCCCTCCCCTCTTCTCCTGAAGGAAGACTCAAAGTTAACATGGGAAACATCTACTTTCGTCAGAAGAACTATACGAAAGCCATCAAATTGTACCGTATGGGCTTGGATCAGGTACCTAAAACTCACAAATCAATGCGGTAAGATAGTTCTGCAGTAATACGATCGAATTTATAGGATAAAGATCATGCAAAACATCGGAATAGCCTTTGTGAAACTACGTCAGTACAATGATGCCATCACGGCTTTTGAGCACATAATGCAGGAGGATGCGGGAATAAAGACGGCTCTGAATCTGATTCTCTGCTACTTTAGGGTTGGAGATAAGAATAATATGAAATACACATTTCAACGGCTTCTTAAAGTCGACTTGCACCTTGATGATGGGGAGCGGTACCTTTCACATGCTGTCAGTATTTTCATTTTTCTGTACCCCAACGCACTAAACTATTAAGGGTTATGATTTGGTTACCCGTTTTCGAGCACTTTATAATTACGCAAGCAAATGTGACAGATATGCATGCATGTACTTGGGACTTCAAATTAGGTTTGCAGCGTTTCATGGAATAAAGTTCACTGCTATCTATTTTTTCCTTTTAGGATGATGGGAAATATGACAGCATTTTGGAAGTCATAAAGAACGATGATTTACGGCAATATGAGAAGACTAGGTGGGTGGTATTGATGAAATGAATGATATGAAGGTACGCTTTTTGCACTTATGTTTAATATAAGCAGACATGATGGTTTGAACATAGACACTTTACTGCAGCATAGTTTTTTTGGATAGATTTGCTTCACCGAGGACCTCCCACTGTGTCGTTAGCGTCATGACCATATGGATGGCCTCACTGACTTGTCCTCTTCACAAATCACGTTTTTTGGTAGCACCGTCATCTTTTCTACTTTAAAGTATTCAGGAAATGTATTTATCTATAGGAGGGCACATGCGGAGTCTGTGATTAAAATGGTCGCCAAAATAATTGCTCCGGCTATAGAATCAAGCTTCAACTTGGGCTATACATGGTGCATTGAACAAACCAAGAACTCTGCATATCGCGAACTTCCTAATGACTTGGAAATCGATAAGGCGTTGATGTATCTCAGACAACGTGACTTTCATCCGGTTTGAATTTGTCTAAATTCCGTCCTGACTTCATTCTAGTATCAATTTTAATCCATTCAACTGGTTGGTGATTAATAGGTGAATGCTAACTTCAATTTCACTAGGACATTGTCTTTCAATCATGGATTCCTTCCATTCCCTTCATTTGTGCCGTGCTGCGAAACAAGAAACAGCAATATCTCGTTTTTATTAAAGTCGCCCTAAACGCTTGAGTTGCTGACCAGCAAGTCGTAGAAATACATGCCTGCCTCTTATGAATTTGATGTTAATCACGTCAGGAATCTTCCACAATCTTCTTACTGGAATTTATAGGGGTGATTTAGGACTCCATTGCTTGCGGAAACCAAAGTTTCTGTTTCGCTGCGCTCATGATACATTTAGGTAAACAGAACGAACTCATAGTTTAAGAAAGGATGAGTAAAATGTTTGGAAGTTAGGGTCGCTGTTAGAGAACTTTACCCTCAACAGATTTTTAAACCCAGATTCCCAAAACTGCAACCTTTTGAAAGCGTAAGCTCGAAAATAGTTGGATAGTCTTCATAATTGTCTTGTGCGTTTGTAGTTTGGCCAACAACAAACATTCAATCTCACTTTAAGTAGCTAATGCAACTAGCCACAAAGAGGTATTCAGTGTCAATTTGAAAATAAAATTGTACACGCTGTTTTACTTCCTTTTTTTTAGGAGGGAGAAAAATCTTTGCACTTTAAGGTAAGTTCTTTCTGATACTGGTAGATTCACTATGAACACAAGCGTAGTAATTGTATCAAACATTAGAAAATGGTTTTCTTTGCCCATTGTAAGGCCATAGAGACATTGAAATCGTTTGAAAACAAGGACACCCGAACGGCTTGCACAGCTGCAACAAACCTCTCCTTCCTTTACTTCCTTGAGGGAGACTTTGCACAAGCCGATCGGTATGCCAATCAGGCGTTGGCGGCCGACCGCTACAGTCCTGCTGGTAGCGAACCTGCCCACTCATTAGCCTTAATGATGAGAAATGCACAAGCCCTTGATACTTCTCCCGACCATTCAGAAGAAGAAGGGAGCCACTCTTAATCTTGGCTATTTTTTTGAGTTCTCATTTTAAGATCTTTAACTGAATTTTCAAGCCTTTAAGAATTTACAAAAACATGGTGCTCTTTGGTGCCACTCAGAGCTTACCAATTTCATGAATTTGTTAAAGTAAAAGTGTGCAATCATGGATCACCCTAAAGTCAGATTTTGATTTTTGCTTTAGTTAGTCATATAAAGAGGAATCGCACGACTTGATGATTTTCATGTCTGTGTTTCGTTGTACCATTACCATTTGCGAATATGGAAAAAAAAAACAATTATCACTTAAGGCGACCTGGACTGGTTTGAGCTGAAGCCATCTTCTCGCATTCAAACTCACAAAGATGCCTTTTGAAACATTCAGTGAGAAGTGTGATGCATAGTATTTGTTCCAAGCGGGTACAAAAATAGTAAAACAATACGATGCGGTAGGAATTGTTCCTTGAAGTTCCGAAATACGAATATCTAAACGGATTTCTGATACCCTTCATCTCATAGCAATTCGGTTATGCGGTGGTCGGATTTTGCTAAAATCAAGATACCCCAAAAGATGTTTTATCTTATTGTAGCTTTGGTGAACAAGGGAAATATCCTATTCAAGCAGGGGCAGTTGGAGAGAGCACGTGACTGCTATCGTGAAGCCCTGCAGGACGATCCAACCTGTGTGGAGGCGCTCTACAATTTCGGTCTAGTCGCTAAACAACTCGACAGACTAGAGGAGGCATTGGATGCCTTCTATAAGATCCATGCGATGCTTCCTAACAATGTTTTGGTGATGTACCAGATGATGGATATCTATGAGCGGATGGGCGATCTCTCACAGTCACAAGACTGGTAGACTAGACTTCGTTTTGAGCTACAGTCATAAATGCTTATACTAGTTAAGGATTTGGACAATCTTCTTTTGTATGCATCCACCGTATAACTCTACGGCAGTTGGGCAGGAATAGTTATGGTTGAATTTAAAACGATAGTTGTTGTTACATAGGACTTTCATCTGGGCACTTGTTCCCTGGTTTTCAGTCACTGTTCATCGTAGTTTAAATTAAGTAGTCCCCTCCTATGCTGCGTGATTCCCTAATGCGTGAAGAATCAGCAAAAAAAAATACACAACTTCGATAATCATCTCTTGTTGGAACAGCAAACTTTCCTGCTTTAGCAACCGCAATTACATTTACTAGGTGTTGATGGCGTTCATTTTCTCGTAAATTATAGCTCATCATTGTCAGTTGGTTGGTACTTAATGAAGTAATAAGTTCAGTGTTTTTTGTAAATGCTTTTTTATTAGCAATTTATTCGCTGGACTTGGTATCTCTAGGCTTACCCTAGTCAAATTCTCCGATTTGAATCGCTTTAAGCACTTTCTAATGCCATATTTAGTGAATCGAAATAAATCTTTGCACAAGTGTCCCTTATTTACAGGTTTCTTCAACTGCATGGACTCGTTCCATCAGATCCCTTTCTTTTGCAACACTGTGGCGACTGTTTTGAGCGAATTGGCGACAAATCCCAGGCCTTCTCTTATTACTACGACGTAAGTGTCAGCTGCATGTTTTTTTAATACAAATTGAGGCTAATACTGTCAGTTTTCATTAATTTTAGTCATTTAAGTATTATCCTTGCAACTTCGAGGTGATTGAATGGCTCGGGGCCTACTATATTGAGTCGCAGTTTTGCGAAAAATCTATCAGCTACTTTGAGCGTGCTGCGTTGATGCAGTGAGTTAAATTGTCGCATATTCAGGAAGACGTGAAATTTTGCATACTGCGCCGGATGTATGCTAACTTGTTCAACAAATGCCCCAAGTGTGAGGTTTTGAGTCTACTTCTAAAACTCCTAAACTACTAAGCAGTTTCACTCCTTTGTGGAAATTTTATTCACAATCAACTGCTTTAAGGAGGAATGCTTCCTTCAGTTTTTTCGAGAGAGATGCTTTGTATCTACATCAGATTCTCGAAAAAATTCATTCATGTAGGACTGCACTCTGGAGTAATTGCATTCTTACACAGCAAATAATAGATGCTGGATAGTGGCTATTTAAGGAACCTCATTCGGCCTTTTTGGTCGTATTTCATTATTGAGAATGTGAATCCTATCAGATCTTACCATCAAGCGTTAATTCTGCTCTTTAGACCAAATCAAATAAAGTGGCAACTGATGATTGCCTCCTGCCACCGAAAGAGTGGAAATTACCAACAAGCTCTCGAAATGTATAAGAAAATTCACAATAAATTCCCAGGAAATATTGAATGTGAGTCTGGTACCCTCTTAACCGTATCGATGGGATGGCATTTAGTAGAACTGGCTAAAATAAGCAGAGTTGATAAAGCTAGTACAAGGCATTGTTTACACAATGAAAGATTATTTTTGTCCATCAACAGCATAGATAGGCAAGCTTAGCCCTTTGCGGCTAGATGTGGAATTACATTTTGGCCACTGGAGTATTTCACGGATATAATTCAGTGATAGATCGCATAGTATGCTTTATAGGTCTCCAGTTTCTCGTTAGACTGCACAAGGATATGGGCCTACCCGAGGCAGATGAATACCTCTCCCGATTGAAGAAGGCGGAGAAAATTCGCGAGGCTCGTGAACAACGGGTGCTTTCTGCCTCCAGTCGTCAACCCTTAAGCACAGGTGTTTTTGGACAACCAAGTGAGAGCCTTGACAGCATAAGCGGGGGTATGTCGATTTCGTTTTTGTTAAAGTTTCGATCGTAAAGTTTGTCTGACTTCAATGCAGTCTGCTTAGAATCTGATTTTGGCCTTTGAAGGCAATAAATTATGCTATAAGACTTTAGAATTTGCACATTAATTTCTTCAATGCCATTATCTGTGTCGACTCAAGACGCAATCTTCAAATATAGTCATCTAAATGAATTGATGTTCGGCTTTTTAAACCACCATAGCCTTTTCTTCAATCACTTGCTCCCGATTTATTCGAAAATAGTCCCTCGGAGTTCTCCTAAATTGATTAACTTTAAAATGACTGAGGTGTGGTTTGCTTAAATAATGGTTTATGAAAACCTTAAAGAAAATTTCATTGTTTTACTGTAGGGTTAAAGCTATTAATTCGGCGAAATATCCTACCAATAGATGTGTGCTTGCTCTGAGATGGGAATGGGTTGATTGTAGGTAGTCGCGATAGCAGCGCAACCACAAGACGCCGAGTGCATGGCAGTTATATAAGATCTTCCGCCTACGCCATATCTCGTCTAACTAATGGGCTACCACCAGCAGCATCCTCGTCGTCGCTTCATTTGCCTGACACCGACGCGGAAGATGAAGATGGACATGACCTTCCGCGACAACAGCATCGCTCTGACGCCTTAAATCCAATGGAAGTGAGCTACGTAGATCCCCTAGGACCCTCTGCAGAGCGACCCCGTACTGCTGTCAAAACTCGCCGTTCTGTTGCGGAAGAATTTGTTGATGATTGTGCTGTTGATAATCTGTTGCCTGATTGAAATGGACAAACTTCGTTGATGTCGTAGAAGGTTGCTCGTCTATTAAATTTACTTAGCACCAGTTTTCACGTTCACTATGGTATTGAGAACGATTAGGAAGTTACATTACTCAACGCTATCAAATTTCCGCGCAAATAACGAGAGATCTGTCCTCAACATGATGCTTCTCTTAACAATTCTACTAAAACTCCAGTTTCGTCCGTCCCAGGAACTGGATTTGGGAACAACGAATGCTGCTGACCGCCACGAGCGTTCATAGTTAGTTATGTTCCTTCTTGCTAAAGCCGAAAAAGCCATATAGGTTTCATCCAACTGGTAGAAAAGTAGAGATGTTATCTAATTTCCACATCTACCATCTTCGTACAAGCGCAAAGTTAAGCTTTCAAGGTGGTTCGTGATTGGCGTCGCCTCCGAGACTAAAGGCGAAAGATGGTACTCGTAGAACTCAAGGGCTAAACAGCTAACAGCACAATACAACCGCATATGCTTGAAATAGGTGATTGGAGCACTACCATTGCCTCATGGGCTTCCATTAACCCTTGCCCAACTGTACCAGCACTCCTTTCCCTTTCCTGATCTAAAGTTTAGATATTTAGTTGGTAGCATGCTAACGCACGTATACTGTAGCCCAAAATCGTTATATGTTGCCAGTAACCCCCATTGCTCCGCAATCCTTTCTCCTAGGGTATCGCACTGTTCATACTGTTCAATTGCGAGAGGCAAAATTTGCTGCTTCAACCACTTTCACTTCGTTTCTTAAGCAAAAGCAATCATTGCAGCCTTCTATGCGTACTGTAATGTCGAATCACTAGAAATGCCACGTTTGCGCCCTTTTAGTAACTTGAAAGCTGTTAACCGATTGGCTTTGCTACTCGAAAGAAAAACATCCTAAGAAAAAAAGCACCTCTTTAAAATGCGATGAAGGCAAACAATTAGAACTTGAAAAATCATCAGCAAGCATACAGAAAAAAAATAATATCACAGTTGCTTAGTTGTTCACAGCCAGCATTTTGGAGGCAAAGGAGCGTAAAAACTAGAGAGAAACACTATGTTCTAGACAGAGGGCGGCCAACTCCCGACAGAATTCCTCAAATACAAAGAGAGCCATTAAAACGCGTCGTGATTTTGCGTCCTTAACAACCTTAAGGGGGCCTGTGGCAGATGCCTCACCACACACGACTCCACTCAAGCGTTCTATAGCTTGGGTTCGCCAGTCAGTAGATTCCGTCCTTCCACCAACTGCTGATTTGGCTTTTGGGGACGAAGGAGTAGGTGAGGAGGAGGAGGAGGAGGAGGTATTAAAGCGAAGACGTGAAAGCAACCGAAACATGCGTTTCGGTGACTGGGTGGCTGTGAAGGGACCGTAAATTAATTTGATGGATAACTATTTAAGGTAGGCCCTTACATTAAACTACTAGAATTTTACAAAAGGGAATCTGGCGTCACGTTTATAAATTAATTTTGATTTGTGAAAAACCCAGCCTCCCTTGCAGAAGCACTATTTTTAAGTGTTCAATTCACTTGAAATTTTGAGAATTATTGAATTATGGTATTGACTTAAGTACAATTTGTGATTTAAAACCAAATGTTTTTTACATAATTCGGAAAGAACAGCTATTTGTGAAACAGGACTTCAAATAAAGGGAGATTTTACACGGATACCTAAAGTTTCAGCAAATAAGACAATTCCACCGACTAACCTCGGCCCACAAAAGCTGCCTTTTATTTACTTATAGGGAGACAACGACCGTGTCATGATGTATGCCAAGTTCGATTCTGTCAAACTTCCAAAAGAAGACTGACTTCAAACCCAACACTGACTACCAGAGGCGCACTGGTAACGGGGATACGCGTACACGAGTTGTGCCAAGTTAACGAGGGCGCGTGATGGTTCTCATTTTACGTACTCTGGTAAGTGATCTACCATAACTTGACTGTGACTATGGTTCCGCTTAATGTCAATATGTTGGTGATGTTGAGTGGTCAGAGGAATTCGACAACAGCGCAACTTGCGAGATTCTATGAGATCTTGAGAAAATCGTCGCGAAAAAACACCCCGAAAGAACGTAAACAATAAAGCTATCCGGGGCTACAAATACCTAGGTCAATGAGTGCAACCAAATCGGACCATTAATGTTTTAGACAAAAAGCAAGTAAGAAGACGTTATGCGAGTGAGGTTATATCGAAGACTACGTAAAAAATAACTGCTGCTACTCATACAGGAATCTCAAATGGCAGACTCACTAGATGCATCGGACACATATGAATCATGAACTGGACACTTTGGAGGTTGAAAGACCACCACTCTGAGAGCGTCAAGGAAACTACCAAAGGAAACCTCACTACTGGAAGCTGCACTGAAGCCAGAAGAGGAGTGTAGGTTGATAAAGCAGTCAAACCACTGTCGCACAGCCATCAGAGTCGTATATAGCCACTGGCCGTCAAGGCTTGTGACTTCCTGTGCGGTCAGAGGGAGTAGTTGTAGACGCACGAGAGGAAGCGGCAATGCCAACAGGTGGGTGACCAGCCGAGTCACCTGAAGATTGGCATAGAGATGATTCATGGGCATTCGCGAGATCAGCTGTATCAGGGGGGTCAAGAGCGGACCTAATAGGATGACATTACAACAAAAGAAGGTCATTAAAGGCGCATATAGATTAAATGAATCAAAAGGTTGGTAAGTACTAGGGGTTACTAGGTGGTATGTAGCAAGATTAGTGGTTTTTCCTAGAACGATATGATTAGGAAGGGTATATTGATAAGAAATGGTTCTATGAGTAACGATAGAGAGGCTGAAAGTTTGCCCTTTCAAAGCCACGGCCTCCCATTTAAATGCGTATCAGGTATGGTGAGTTAGTCAACATGACTTGCACGAATGGCAAATCCATTTCAGCTAAAGAACAGGAGACATCTCAAATCAGTCATAAGTGTTCCACATTAAAAATAATTTTTTTTAAAAGCTCCTATTAGTAAACCCCAAGTTAAATGGCGAATGACAGTTACAGCCATTCCTTGTCCGAAACAGTTATCAGTAAGTATTTTAAGCACTGCGATTTGAAAGAGTGGGTAATGTGAACTGGTTGGCTTAAAATCAGTTTTGGCAAGTAAGCGTAACTGCATTCGACAGTGAAGAGTTTGATTTTTGCTAGACTTCAATACAGTTTATTGGGCCAAAATTATCGAGGGCATTTGATATGCATGAAAGGAATTAATGAACATGATTTTTAAACAGCCTAATGATATCGCGAAATTCTTCGCGAATGACACCGTTTCAGTTTTAAGGTGAGAAGCCAATGACCGTATTACCAGGGGTAGTTTTACGAAAATGGCAAACTTCGTATCAGAATGAACAAATGGGTATCTGGTAAATTAGATAAGTGATCAAACCAAGTACTAAAAAAGTAAACGAAGGAAATTCAAACGGCACAAAAAAGTGCAGCGAATTCGACTGGTCGAAACAACTTCTGTTTGGGGTCAGTATATCGAAACGAATAAACCAATAGTGGAGATGATGCTGAGAAAACATTTGGCAGGCGTTCATGCTGCCATATTAGCATCCTTAAAAAATATCAACAACAAAAAACTAAGTTACCCAGATAGAAGGGAGTCGATTGAAGCGAAGACCTTTCGATCGCAGTTGAAGTCTTCATTAAAGCGGGCTCAGTACTAGAGAATCCTGAATCAACTACCTTTACAGAATTTCCCACTTTATTCTCATCATCCCTCTTCTGTACATCAAATTGGGATATACAGGCCGAAAATCTCGCCTCCACCGATTTGACATCAATAGAATCCCCACCTGGAAGCTGGTCAAGATATCGCATTAAATCGGGGACACCACCAGCGATCTCTTCCACCCCCGTCGGAAACTGTTCTGACGGCTCGGTGAGGCTCATCTCTACGGATCTCGATGTCGCTGAAGATGATGACGATCCGGAGACTCGATGGCTCATCACCGACTGAGTCATTCGACCAAACATTTCTGCTGCGGGAGGAATATCGACGTCAGCACTTTCGGTCACTTCGTCGGGGTCCATCTCTACGAAGGTGATGTTGTACAGGGAAGAGGTGCGTTTAATATCCTCGGGATCAGGCGCTACCTCGTGATGGCATCGCAACTTGAAGGCAGCCTTTGTGGTACGCGTCGGCTTGGGCCTATAGGCGGAACACGAAGGTTCGCGCAGGAGAGCGCTAAAACGCTCCAGGTCGGCCAAAATGCTATCTTCCTCGCTCACTACCTGATTAAGCCCATCCAGTTCCCACTGATTCCGATCACTGTTTGCCGACAACTTATCAGCAATTTCGCCAGTGGGACCCTCCAATACGTCGTCTGAAACTTGGAGGCCCTCCTGAGGCAAGGGTGTCAGAGGGTTCGCGTCCATGTGAGCACTCAACGCCTAAAAGGGCAATTGAAGAAATCAACTCCGTTTAGTTTCTTCCAATGCATACCAGACACCACATTCTTTCTATTTATACCTTCAAAAATGTTATAGGAACACGGACATCTTAACATTCGTGGCGGCAAAAAAACCCTAACTCCCACTTGCCGAAAAAAGTAACAATAAAATGAGTCAGGACCTGGAAAGAGTAACACGTAGAAGGGAAATTAGTGAACATACGCTGTCCGAAGAACAAAGATCAAACCACGGGAAAACATTCCGTGTCTTTAGCACATGACTTGTGGGAGAAAGCACCCATCCTAGTCTTATGCACAGGCTTTATCAGTACGAACTGATTAGACAAGTAATCGAGTTATATGACTCAGCCATGAAGACCCATGAAAGGAAAAACATTATAGTGATTCCAATGCAACCAAAAGCACAGAAGAATTTGAATGTAAGGAAAAGTGCTATTACCCAGGCTGATTTTAATTACGGGTGATTCGCGAAGACCAAGCCTTTTATTCCAATTTCGCGCTGAATAAAATCCTGTTTAGCTACAAATGCGTTATTTACACTTTTAAAAATTTTAACATTCGCAACACACAATCTCGACAACTAGCAATAAGCAATACAAAAGCGTACTTCTGGATTTTTAATGACTGAATTCGTCAATAATAGAATTAAAGTTCTTGCGTGTTGTTTTGTAAACCAACAAGCTGGATGCCGAAAGGAGCACGGAAAAGGTGAAGTCAAATTGGATTCAGGACAAGATGAGACTGTTAATACATTGCAAAACAGTCGCTATGATACGAATTACTTGAACGAAAGCTTTATGACAAAGAAAAGGTCTGTTTTTTAACATCACGTGAGCATGACGTGGATCTTTTTCGTGGACTAAGAAAAGTCACAGTTTGCCGGTTGTCTGACTCTAAACCAAATTTCAGCTCACCACATGTCATAATCAGAACGCACCATTGACGACGATGGATTTCCGAGATCGTATGAAAAACGCCAGTCACCACAGGCGGCCTTGCGTTCTCCAATGAGTTTTCGGGCCTCCCAGAGGCGAATAGACATCCTCTTAGGCCATCTTCGCAATTCTCTCATCCCACTATTCACTCCTGTCTCTGTTTCCATCTCCAACTGTGCCAAAAGAGCCTCATTGACTTGAAAAAAAAGTAGAAACCATGATGCCAAAAATATCAACAGTTTTACATAACGAGTTCACACGAATAATGTTTCGCACTTAATTTAAGATGAATTTGTCTGATCATTAACTCATTGAGAGGTCAAAAAAACGAATGGTTACAATCAGTGAATCCCGTCAGTTTTTACAATTTCGACCTCAAAATAATGGTGAAGTTTGTTAGCGCTGATTCCTCGTAATTTTTCCACCAATTCAAAACAACGCACCGATACACGCTACGACGTGATGCAACTCTTGCAGCCTGTGGTTTCGCGCACATGCAGTGTGCTTTCAGAATATGAGATTAAGGCCATGCATTTACATCACCTCTCCGTAAAAATTCATCCTCTAAAATAATACGCCGCATATACAACCTCTGACTGATGCTAATCAAAGAAATACCACAAAGAAGAAACTAGACGTTTAGGATAATCCCTCTTATAGATGAAGATTTCGATGTCACGGACAAAAACATACGACAATCAACAAATGAAATAGCTTCCATTTTATGGTTATAAATGAGTGAAGTAAGCCGTTAACCTCCATACACATGAACTGCTAAAGGCACCTGGTGCACTAACGTGGTTTAACTCTCTGTTTGGCATTCAACAAGCCTACATTCTCAAGGAAAATCTATTCGAGGTGTAATAAGTACCATTTTTGTAGATCCTTTAAAGCGGTTACGGGACGACAGTTTAAGTGCTACATTATTAAGCATGATCATCGCTTGTTTCCTACCCGCTCAAGGAAGGTTTCATTGCTTTTCGTTTCCCATCGGTTCATGTTTAAATCAGGTGAATGGAGAGAGATTTTCAATGCGTCTTCCCACATTTATTCTCCAAGAGAAAAATACCAACCTCCTATGGCTTGCAATGTCAGTTAAAACGACTAATAGACAAATAGACTCAAAACTTACTGTGGAAAGAAGAGAGATCACCGTTTAGACCACTGCTCCACCTACCCCCTTCCAGGGAAGAAATGCTCTCATTGGGGCGACTAATAGAAAAGGAAGAGTATGGCGGAATGAGAGCCAAATACTGACCTGCGGACGCAAAAAAGGTAGACGGGTTCGTAACTGTTTTGTTTAGCGGTGGTTGTGTCCCCAAAAGAAGGTGCCTGTTAAACAAAAATATTATTTCGTTTAAATTTTTAAGGATAATTACTACACCTGCCATGAAACCGACGATAGATACATAAGGGAAACTATCCAATAGACCGTTTACCAACAAACCTTTGTTAGCAGTCCATTTCACAAGCGCGTTGGCATTCGGTTTTGATAAAACATTCACAAAGAAATTACTTACGTAAGACAAGGAAACCCCGTGCTCTAAATCTACTTTTATTAAAGAAAATTTTCCATCAGATCTTGTTCGCTTTCAACTTTATCTTAACGAAAACACCGGAGAATGTAAAAGCACTGTATCATGATAGTGACATGCATTTGAAGTGGGGTAAACACCTTTAAGGAAGGAACTGTGCGAACATCAAATACAAGTCAACCAATCTATCATGTTGCTATTTCCCAAACTCCGCTAATGATGCCCCGCGTTACCACCATCTAATCTGCATGAGCATCTGCGAAATTCGTGGAACTCAAATCAGTATAGCAACGGGAAAAAATGGTAAAATTGTCGTCAATCACGTGGACAATAACCTTTTAAGTAGACGCAAGGCGGCAATGCACTCGCGACACACCGGAGCTCCTCGATGCACTAATCGCGCTTCCGAATGGCAAGACCAGCGTTTCGCAAACAAATGCACACCAACTTTTCATCAAACAAAATGCAGAAGTTGCAGAAATTTCAACTGATTACCGCAAACTGGCGGACAATGCATAACACCAACCCTCAACGCAAAAGCAAATTGCATGGAATCTTCAATTTTATAAGAACGGTAGTATTCATCTAGAAGAATAAGAGTTGTAAATTAATGCACCCAGTTAAGTAAAAAACAAGGAATAAATTACTCGAAGCCTAACATAACTAATATTAACACCTGCGAGCCAAGAAAAAGTGCTAGAAGGCGTGAATGCGAAGTGTGATCCATCAATGCCTATGTAGGCCGCAATGAGATTTGCAAGCACAGTTGTGCCGACCGAATGCAATCTGTAAGGTCTGCCAATGTTATCTTGCTCGACCTGTACTTGGATTACCAACGTGGCACACAATTGTCGACCAGTGAATAAATTTTAACACTGCTTTCTACTGAGTCGAAATCGGCCCATTCGAACAATATACTGGCAATTAACCAACAAACAATGGTATAAGAAACAGGGATGAGAAGGGCCATCTTTAAAAGCTGAGAAGCCGCAAAAAAAGAACATAAAGAGGGTACTACGACCATAAATGGCGTGACCACTCCATTAAAATACTTCCAAAATTACACAGCCACTTTACGCATGGCAGAGACAAGTTCCAGTGCTAGTTCAGTAGTATCTCCTTCTTGTGGCAACCTTAAAATTTGTAGATTTTATGCCACTCATGCTATCAACGTTACTAGCAGAGGGCAAAAAACTGCACAACCGCTTGATTTTTCTATGCATAAAGAGGCTAGCGCAGTCAGCATACCAACAGTCATCTTAAATTAAGAACATTTGTAGGAATTCGAATAAAAAGCACACAAGCTCTTTAGGTAAAGATGAGCAGACATTAAATTAAATAGTCTTAAACTCAGTCACGTAAGAGTCGCCATGACAAAAATTGCTTGAGTGCACAAGACTAATAATCGCGACCCCAACTAATCATAACGTTACCGCTAAATATCGGGCGCTCTGCCTGTTTATAAAGAATAACCCGGCTTATAGGTATGTCCTCACTGTCCTCGTGGTCCTGAAGATGTCCCATTTGCATGCTAGTTCTATTCAAGCTGACCAATGAAAGTTCTGGCACCCCCTTGACGTCCGTCGAGGGACCCTGTGTCGAGCAATATTTTGATTGAATCGGAGACAGATCGCGAGAATACCCTGTAAGAGAGGAACCTCGACCCCATTCAACATAATCCGTTTCCAATCCTACAATCACTATTGTAGTTCCCATTCTTCGCCAATGTACGTTTCGCCTTAGGACTAAATAACAAGCTAGGTTGTGACATCCTTCCCCTTCCTTCGGAAATTTGTGCACGCAGAAACCGCTACTTTGCTAGTAAAGTTTACAAGTCACGCTAAGAAACAAAATGAATTGTGAGTTGTAATAGCCCTGAAAGCCATTAAATTAAAATGAATTTGTGCCTTAAAATGCTTTGATAATCAATCCGCAAGGCACGAACTCAGTTTCTGGAACTAAAATTTTACCCTTCAACTCACAAACGGTGAGTTTACAACTGGTTCCCTGATTTGGGCCTACTTCAATTGCACACATTTCTATCAAGGAGGGTCATGACGGCTGCATCCGAACTTACCTTACATCTAATAGGCCAAAATAGAGGAAAAAAAGTATAGTAGTGCATCCCAGTTAGGGAGTCTGTGGTGTTTCTTTGTTTGTTGTAGCAACGGTGCTTCTCGATCTGGGACCACACAGAGGTGAATCATCCAATCCTGCGTGCATTTCAATGGCAAGCCCTCTGCATCTCTGTTTTTCAGATTTTGAAAATTTCGCATCTTCTAGGAATCCGTCTCTAGTCATGTACTTATGATTAAACTTGTACTACTTCATTTTGCAACAGGCTGAAGGCGCTGACCTCTCTGCCACAATTTGCAATTTAAACACCAAAACTGGATAATCTCAAGAAATTGGAGAAGGATATCATGCTACTGCAATGCGTTCATGCAGCATCACAATAATTGTAAACAGAGCGCAATTGTAACTAGGCTCGAGAGAATCCATGCCTTAAATGACAGCATCAAAATTGACTTCTGCCATTGCCGTGCTATATGGACAAGTTAAATTCAAATTTGCTCATGGCAATCAAGAACCAAATACCAAGTGACCACGAAAAAGTGTACACGCTAAAGCTGATTTCCAGCCGAATACTAATATTGAAAATACAATCAAGGATGACAATGGTGTGAGAAATGGATCAAACAGGCTCTTAGGAAATTCTGAAAGAAAGGAACACTCACTTCAAAGCAAGCTCGAAGATAACATCCTCGCATAGGAGATCAACAATAGTGTTTAACAGAGAAAGAGTTGCAACGCCAACCTGAAATAAATAAGGAACCTTTCAAGGGACCTACAATTGCTCTGACGTCTATGGAATTCTAAACCTCATAATCGGCAGGCTATGATCATCACACCACAGACTTTGGGATAACCATTTTATAAATGTGTTAGTTTTCGGTCGAGAAGTAATTTTGGTTTTTGTAAATAAGGGCGAGTTACCATAGTTAACGTTGAAACCCAGTGTCGTCAACTCTAGTTCCTTCCCCTTCTCCCGCATACACAATGCCAGTGAGGTGGCAAAAATTAATTTGACCATGTGAACTAAGAAGCTGTACACATTTGTAGGCGAAAGAGGGTATCACGGCCAGTGATGTCACCATTTTCAACAGCCTCAACGGTGAACTCATAAGGTTGAAGTCGTACATTAGGTAAGTGTTCGGACGCTGAGGAGCCGAGTTGCTTGGTTCAAGTAGCAAAATACCACTTCGGTATAAATAAATTTAGCTATACATCGAACGATATGCCTACAAAACTGCTATTTACCAAACACAAAACAATTATAAACGCAGTCAAATAAAAAGGGTGTCCAACCCTTTACTGTATTTTAGAGCTTCTCAAGCTAAAATATTCATTCCACCTGCATCGCTGACAGTACTGGTCACACTACTTTTTTGAATGTTAGCGAAACCCAAGATAGAAAGCTAAATGGTGATACGAATGCTGTCCTTCAGCAATTCTAGAAGACAGGGTCGAGTTACACCTTACAAAAAGAATGTCAACTGGCAGAATGCAGAATTTTCGGCGTTCATCCAACAGCACTCCGAACGACCACAGACCCTTGTGAATGTCTTTATAAACGAAAATAGCTACTATGGATGGCAAAAATACAATTTTCAACAAAAGGCACAGATGGTTACAAGGCCAGGGTTCCAAAATTCATTTTTAAACAATGGTTACTCAAACAAGAGTCTGTGAGTGGGCAGTAGTTTCACAAAACTAAGCTAAGTCGATTCACTTCGAATGATTCGGCAAAGTGAAAGTATCGTTTAACAGTGTTACGGAGATGAATTTATTTTGAAAGAAGAGACGCCCCTTTCGCAGGCCGTAAATCGCTGTTCCCAAGTGCTGTTGAAACAATCCAACACCCCACGAGAAGGAATGCTTCAAAGGATTCTTAAAGCAGGGGAATAAAGCCAACAGAACATGACTTGGCTGCACTACTCATTTAGGAGTGGACTCAGCTAAGTTCCAGAAGGACTAAGAGATCAGTAAAATTAAAGTGTCGATGCAACCATTTCAATGCAGTCAAAGGGAGCAATAGGGGGAGATGAAGATCCGTGATATGGTGACCTCCTTAAACACGATCATGCAATTGCAGCCAGCAGCCAATCAGCATAAATGATGCGCCAAATGAATAAAAAGTAACTATTCAGGTTAAAGAAAACCTAAGGTTTTATTGTGAAATGGGTTAGAAGTGGTATCTAAGTGATAAGACCTCTCACTCAGTGAACGAAGTTAATCTCTAGTCCAAACATCATTTCCCTTTGAAGAAACTAGTAAATTGTAAAAGCCTTCGGTCTTTTTTGGCACTTTTGGGACTAATACTTTCTGCAAATTAAGCTTTAAATAATTTTAATAAAAATGAAACGATGTTCCTCACTTTAAAGTGTTACCACGTCGCGGGGCTTACTCACCAATGAGTTGCAGCATTGAATGCGCTTTAGCAGCACGTCCATGTAGGTGGCGTTCGTGGTACTTAGCAGCATGCTTGTCTTGCAATAAAATGAGGTCTCAGAGAGTGGAAACGATTGTTCCAGAGCTTCAATCACATCGCGATTAAAGGTATGGGGAGCTAGAATGTCAGAATGAAGTGCGTTTCGTTCGGAGAAGAGAAAGCGCAATAAGAAAGGGAGTAGAATACTCCCTCTTGACTTCCACAGAATGCGGTCAAAATATACAGTAGTTGTTGCCACTTCGGCCTCCGATGTCTGTGAGGTCACAGAAAGTGATGAGACTATACCAAACATATTACCCCTGCTTACCGATTGAATTGCCGGAACTAGTACTGGCAAAAGGAAACCCTTGTAGAGACAGCTTAGCATGTTCTCTTTCACCATACGGTTCGACATCTAACGAAGAAATAATCAATTGAATTTTCAGTAAGCATACATCCAGAATGGAACAGCAAAATTCGTAATGGTCCAAAAATTTCTGCACGGGGTGGTCTTTTAGCACCTGTTCTTCGAATCTCGCGACGAGAGAAGGCCATTCATCCGCGGAGTTACCATTAACAAGCTGCCGTGGCGTGTTATTGAAGAGCGAAACCATGTCAGTCACCAATACCTGTTTGCGTATGTGAGACAGTAGGAAACGCTCAATTATACCTCGCAAAGGTATGAATTTCTCGCCATATGATAATCTGCATTTTGATTTGTTGTAGAGGAGGCCGCAAGCAGGAGCAAAGAGTCGCGCGACCACCAACACAAACTTCCATCACGATGGACATAAGCTACCAGTAGATCACAGATTGATTGCATTTCACAAGGCGAGCACTCTATTAATAGAAGCATAAATGTAGAGGTAGATAAACATACCTTCCACTGAAAGTGGGTTTGAATCCCCATCGCTATCAGAATAAGGTTTTGGAATAAAACTGCAGGGATTGAGACAAATAGACCAAAATAGTTCATCAGAAACATTTTCAATTTCACGAGTACGGGACTCAGATGAGCGCGTTTGCTGATGCAGTGCCACGCAAACTGTGTGAAGCGTTTGAAGAAGGAGATTTTCAAGTCTCAAAGATGAGTGACGACTGCATAAGTTTAACGTCAACATCATAGGAACTAAAAACTAAAAAGAGGATGGGTATCATAAAAGGTGGAACAACATGTCCGGTGTTAGACAAGATTACCCTTTCCTTTAGAAATAAATGTCGGAACGGACGCGAAATGAGTATATCATAAAAATGGAGATAGGATTCCTTTAGTAATTCCAAGTTGTTGCCATGAAATCGTCTCAGTAATTTGCACATGTTATCGAATAGCTCCATTTCAATTGCTGTTTCAAAGAGAACATGAATTTCCGACCCCTCCTCCAACCTTGTAATGAACTTTTCTTTCTTCAAAAGTTCAGCTATCAATAAGACGTAGGATGAAATTTCAAACGCATCACAAATGTCTAAAAAGTAACTGAAACATTTTTGTTTGACGCACTTTGATTTGATTTAGTAAGACAACGGTTCCAATACGATTTGAGCACTTCAACATGGACTTTGAGTTCTTGCTGGTAGTGATTCTCTCTGACCACACTCAAACCACACAATGAAGAAGACATCGAAATTGGGAAAATAACACCTGTTCGAAGTGATCGGACGACTAACCCGCACACCAGGAACGAACTTGACTCGTGCTGAAATCAGAAATGGCCTTGAGCTTCGTTCCTCGACTGTTAAAAACATTAACGGCAGTTTTGCAGAGTCAAAAGACCAAGTTTCATGCTAATATAATTACCAACTGATCGGACGTATGAAGCCTCTGAAACATTCGGACTCTCTTAACAATGTCGCAGCTGACATAAAAATTCCACAATTAACTAAATTGCACAAATTCGAAAACTAAGCTACCAAATTTGTAGCATTGGGCCTACCGACCCACCTTCAGGCTCATGAAACCCTAATTTCATTAAAGGATTTTGATGAGGGCTTACCAGGCATCCTTTGCAGAATTACAAAGACGGCGTTCCGATGTTACTCTGCGGAAGGATCCTCGCATTCTTTAAGCACGGAACTAGCAAAAATATTGACCAACATCTCTTCCTTATAAGGGCAGTTTGAACGTATTCGTATAGTTATTACATGCAATAATTGGTTTGTGACACCACTTGACGTCTTACTGTTAATTTGGGATTCACTGTGCCCTTATCGCGTGGGCTGGACTTTGTGTCAATCCCTTATCCCTTTGCAATGCACGCGTTCAGCCCAACACAAATGTACTACTTTGTTTATGTGACCACATGACGTTAGGCGGTCACTTGAGAGTTTGTATGGCCCCTGTGCACAGGGGCTGGCCTTCGGGCCACGCTTAGGTCCCGTTAGCCCTGTCGTCTTCGGAATACATGTATTCAACCTCACTTATGCCTTCTTCCATCCTATGGGAAGCCTCGGGACGCTACGACAAAGTCTCCTCCCATCAGGTGGGAAGTCTCGCGGCGCTAAAGAATCTCTTTAGAATTCTTGTGACAATTAAGTTAATTTTTTGATCAAATATTTTGAATGGGGTACGAGCGCAGCCCCCACCCACAAGATCCAAAAGAGAAATTTTTTCACAAGACTTGCTTACGATAAGCGGTATAGATGTATCCGACATGCATTGATTACGTGCCGTTTTCTGCGCTTACATTTGCAGACGCTTGGAAGGAATTGGAGGTCAATTCAAAATGCGAACATCGATGCTGGACTTCCCTATCGCCTACTATGACCATGTCCGTTAAAAATAAGTTTCTACGATATTAGTTTGAATAAATACAGTGGAACTCAAAACGTATTTCTACATCCATTAGACATTGTCACGTTCAAACTTCCCATTAGGAAATACATTTATGGCAGGACAAAATGGAGATTGGTTGCTCAGGTAAGGCATTTCAGTTGTTGGTTTAATCGACCTTGTAAGTCCGTAGAGGTGTACAGAGGCGAATATCGTGTCGAGAGAAGGGCCGTCGTGTAGCGTCCCGAGGCTTCCCATAGGGTGGAAGAAGTCATAAGTGAGGTTGAATACATGTATTACGAAGACGACAGGGCAAATGGGGCCTGGCCATCCCACATGTACAGGGACCAGACAAATTCTAAAATGACCACCAAACGTCAAGTAGTCACATAAACAAAGCACTACAAATCGCTGCTTGAGTTCCGTTTTTGATTCAGTCGCTTTACTGCTTCCATACTGTTATTCCCACTCTCCTGATTTGCAGAATGTTACGTTAAAGGTGGGGACTTAGGTGATGGCGAGTTTGGGGCTACGCTGTCGGCAGCGTCGGTCGGACTTTCTCATTTCAAGTGGGAAATAAACTTCGAAGATTGGTTTATTGCCATAAAATACAACCTGAAGTTTTATCAAAGGAAGTGGCGACTATCCTATGGTTGCAAGAAATCCTCACTTTGCAGATATTGGCTATTGCCTCTAGCTAGTGTAAAAAATTATCCTTGATTTAAAATTCAATACCTTATCTATGAATTTTTCTACCGACTGCAGAACTCGGGTGAAGGTGATACAGAGCTCGTCCAAAAACTTGAACTCCTGAAAGAAAAGGTTTTCAACGGCTGCTCCTCCCACAAAATTCGAGACTTGAGCGATCTCTCAGTTTAGAAGAGTAACCCACTCACTCTTCTTGGTGGAGCATCTCATGTCGTTGAGGGCGTGGAGGCTCCCCTCACTTATCAATGTAGCGGTAACCAAAAGCCCAGAACTTCATTCTCGACCTCGTCTTAGTCGCATAATGGATAATCGGGATACAATGGCCAACGTCGCATCCCTCTGCCTGGCACTCCAAAACCCAGTAAGCCCATCTTCCTTCTTGGGCTTACTTCCTTTTGCTATGTATATCTTTATGAAAATCATTAGCATTGTAGGGGATGAATCACGCATATTCCTTCTCGACTCTAAAGCAGCCGGTTTTCTACTAAATCCACATTAGGAACACAAAATTATGCTTTACAGAAGGAAAGGAGATCATAATTGGGAGGAAACCCTTTCCAGAAGTCACAATAGGAAAGTAGAACTCGTAATACTTTGTTTATGTGACCACATGACGTTTTGCAGTCACTTTAGGATTTGTCTGGCTCTTGCACACGTGGGCTGACCTTCGGGCCTTGCCCAGGCCCATTTGCCCTGTCATCTTTGAAATACATGTATTCATCTGCACTTATTGACTTCTTATACCGGCTGGGAAGTCTCGGGATGCTACAGAGCTTGGCAGTGAATTTCATGTTATGTTCAGAGTTCACTTTAGATGTGATTTCCGCGAATCACATTTTCGACCCATTAAAACAATGAATCGCGTCTTTCTATGTATGATATTGAGTTATATTTTCGCTGTAACCCATTAAAGTGCTCTCAACTCAAGTGATACTGGAACTTAGACGAACGGGTAACGTTAACTACGTGATCGATACCGATGCGTCTAGGCCGACTTGGCAACTGCTTATGTTCATCACCCTCCTCCTCAAGATGAAGTACATTGGATGATCGACGAGATTCCTCGTAACGACACCATTAAGCTTTCCAAATCGCCTTATCGCAAGTGCGTACAGACCATCGGGCCTCAACGCGGTTGGAGATGAACGAAATTAGTCGCTCAGTTGCTTGTTGGCAACTTAGCAATGCGAACGAGCTGTCTCATGGAACTTTCTTGCCAGGTGCGGATGGTGCTCTAATAAGTCCGTTGGTACTTAGCGAACCCCGTAGTTTCAATTAGTAAAAAGCGCGGAGTGCTGATCCAGATACGGCTCTTATATGTAAGCAGCTACGGATATCCGCGGCAAAGACCACAGTCGAGGATTTAAGCTCGGAGAGGAAGATCCGCATGAATATGGCAGAGCTGGGAGACTCTCATAAGACTCGTTGACGCAGAAAGCACCGTTGAAGTGAGATGATGGGAGGTCAATGCAAACTTGGCGTTTGCAGAGGCGAAGTTTGCATTCCGGACTGTAGTGAATGCAGCACTAATTGTACTGAGTTCTTCGTTTAGCCTGCACCTCTTAAAGATTCCCAACAAGTCAATTCAGAACGAGTCTACTTATTACGACTGAAACTAAGAATCTAGAAGCCACGGTGGGAAAGGATGCTCAAATGGAAGCGGTAAGGGTAGTGAATGTGACGATGAAAGCCTTAGGATATTCACCCAAAGGAGAACTCGCAATATAGACTGTTGGTCCGCACAGTGTTCATCTCGCTGATCCACGAGCATGTCGAAGGCTGCATATTCCTCGCTCCCGAATATTGGTATCCACCTTCATTTAATATCTTTTCGGAACGTTGCAGCTAAGATGCTTGACCACGACTTTTCGTTGAAGGTTTGGCGAAAAGGTACAATTCTACACTTGTGTCTGCACAATGCGTATGGTTTTACTTGCCTAAGTACAGTAAAGGTGACATATATATAATAAATTTCAAGGGGCTTGACAGGTTTAGTGCAGCGTTGGAAGTAGTATCACATTTGAATGATTACTCGTCATGAATTAGAATGAGCTCAATTATAACATAAGCTTATTTTTCCCAACGTAGTCCTTAAAACGAGAAAAATTTGTTTTAACTTATTGCATCGCATACTTGCCCATACAAGTCTGTGATTGCATTTGAATCTTGTTCGAATTTGGTTCGGTGGATTAGGTCGGTTGGTCTTTCTTTGTAGTATCTAGTTTTCTGTGAGAAGTGGTGCTTGGTCGTATTTGCGACTTAGTGTGGATATTTTACTGTTCTAATCGAATTTGTGTCCGTTTGCATGGACTCGTTTGTTTATTTTGCGAAGGGTTAAATGACCGTTGTGTTCAAGCCATTAGGGCATGGAGTTCATTTTTAACCTTCTTCGTGAGAGAATCCTCTTCTCAGAGCACGGTACAAAATATTTTGAGGAAGAAATCTCGCGTGTGGTCCACATACTCCGAGATACTGTGGTCAATGGTGTAAGCAACTCCTTGCTTATCGTAGGCCGCAGAGGAAGCGGCAAAAGCCATGTGAGTTTGGACTTTGCAGAGTCAAGGTAGTGCACATAAGGTTTTGTTCGTGCCCATCCTTTTTATTACAGCTTCTTCGCGAAGCGTTGGAAAAAGTGCAGCTGGATTCTGCAGTGAAGGGTAATTTAATCGAGGTCCACATCAACGGTATGACTCTTAAGCTATACATGCTTCTGCCAATATTCTGGGCTAGTCTATCTCTTAAATTGTACCTTGGAACTCCGTTTTGCTATATGTAATGAATATGATGGGTCGATGCTTGTAAACAACTGGTTTGATTACTTACGAGGGTAAAATTGAAGGCATAAATTCCATTTTTTCACTTTGTTGGCATCGCATGCATTTTTGGCAGTCGTGCATGAATCCACACTGTCACTCCATTTTGATTAAATTAAGGACTTATCCATACGGATGATAGACTGGCTCTTCATGCAATTGCAAAGCAACTCCAACGGGTCCGCCCCCATCTCGCTTTGGATACGGGTCCCTTGGGATTTCCCGCATCGGAAAATGGAGAGATGGGCGATGTCGAGAAATGCATCGTGGCTGGGGATACTAGACTGCGCAGCTTCGAGGGTCGGTTGCAATGGCTGTTGGAAGGCCTACGCTCAGGAAGTAGCACCTCCTCGATGGCCCTTGTTGTAGTGGTGGAGGAATTCGATCTCTTTGCGGCGCATCACAATCAGGCCCTTCTATACAATCTCCTCGATGCCAGTTGTCACGTTGATGGCACTCCCATTTGTGTTATTGGTGTTACTTGTAGACTGGTGAGTCTTTGTGGACTGTGGTATTGCATGATGAGTTTTTTCGTCGTAGTCACTTTCTTTCTAATGCAAATTAGATTTGCTCATCTAAAAATAACGACTGCAGCCTTTGTTATTAGTGGTGGATTGGGGTCGAGGGTTGCTTTTTGAACTCGAATTCTCATTATTGTTCTCATTAGCTCACTTTTACTTAAAGTACCCCCGCCTGCAACCCATACTATTGTCAAAGGCTACATTATTGTCGCTGATATGTTTAGTTTTGGTAATAAATTCTCACTGATCAACCTTTGTCTATTGTTTTGTTATTTGAGCTGGCCTCCTTCCTGGCAGTAATGACAGACTAGTTAAAAATTCAATTCTCTGTTGGCATAATGACTTTAAAATTGTTCTGGTAACTTGCATCTAATTTTACTTGGCTTTCGATGTCAGCTTACCCTCGCGCACCCTTGGGTGTGGAATGCGCAATCCTGATTATCAGCGTACGAATAATGGTGTGGATATGTGCAACAAGATGAACTATCCGTCAAAATGAGTTGGTATCACTGGTATCAGTGCTTGTATTTCGGTTATTCTGAACAACCTTTTGCAACTTCCGTTCTGGCTACAATTTCACCGCATTTTTAAAATCGCCATGACTCCATCCACCCATTTAGCCTGCCTTTGTAGGACGTAATAGAGATGCTGGAAAAGCGGGTAAAATCTCGGTTTTCTCACCGCTATCTCCATGTCATTCCTGTGGCTGCGCCGTATATAACAGATGTATCGACCACGGAGAGCGTAAGTAGCTCCGATAATGGCAGTAACAAAGGCGAAGACTCTGAAGAAGGTCGGGTGGGTCCCTTTCAACGCTACTGTGTTCTGGCTGCAAGCCTCTTGCGAATCGACAAAGTGAGTGTGCAGCGACTAAAAACTAAGCTGCAGCCTTCCGATCACAAAGAGTTTATCGATGCTGTGGATCAGTGGAATTCCCATGTTGAGGCATTCTTCGAAGATGGCTTGGTGAGGGACTGTCTGCGACAGATTTGGGAGGTTTCCACTTGCGTTAGCAAGCTAATAAATGCAGTTGTGAGCTCCTTTCTGTTGTGATGGTAATATCCTCTTTTCTCCCCACTTATTTGCGCGCTTATGTTTAAGGCCCTTCTGATTGCGCGACTGGACAGCTCGAAGCCGCGTTTGAATGCAGGCGATTTCATCAATGTTTTATCCAAAATGTGCCAGGATGCAAGGGCATCTTTGTTGTTCAGTGAGTTTTCAAGGGTTATGTGCGGTCTATTTAGGCAAACTTTTGAGGTGAAATAGTTATGATTGTTTGCGCCCAAATAGATCTCTCTCTGTTGGAGCTAATTCTTGTTACAACAATGGTGAAGCTGCACAACATTCATGAGGGTCAGCCACTCAACTTCGAGATCGTCTTCAGTGGTAACTGAAAGAATTTAGATACTTCTGTCGTTGCAGAACACTTTGTGCGGTTATTTGGTTGCCAAATTTTTACGTATCTCCGGATACTTAAACGTTATTTTTGAGCATTACTATGGGTTTTATATTGAAGCTGTTCTTACCTTTGCTGAGCGAGTACCATCATTTAAACCTATCTTCAACTTTTAATAATGGCTCTTACGAAGTGAAATTTGGGTTCCAAATTAAAGGCTTTCGTTTTTTCTCTTGATCCTCTTTACTGTTAGAGGAGTTAAATGAGGCACTTGCTTGGACCCCAATTGCCTTCATTTGGCCCACACGAATGAGGGGTACAACCTCTTTCAGAACTATTAGTGATTGGTTTTTTGGCGCCCTTTGGCGCATTCAATGCCTTTGTCTAGTTCTAATACACCCTCTGTGATCCAACATCCTTTTCTCATGCTGACTCGATTGGCTATTCATGCATTTTAAATAGAGTACTCGCGTTTTTGTAAGTCAAGCTGTCCGGCCTACCTCTACGAAAAGAGAGTGGTCTCGAAGGCGATGGACAATTTAGTGCAGTTAGAACTAGTAGTGTGTGGCCGCGAGGCGGTGGTGGACGTGGACTCCCGGCAACGGCGATGCCCTGCCTCAACCCATTCCAATATTGTTTCTGCGGCGGCGGTGGCTAATCTTCCTGACCAACTTAGGCGCTTTCAACCATTAACGTGCTTTGTGTCCACACCCTCCCTTATCGCTTGCCTCGACGCTTATCCTGGGTGCCCCATTGAACTGACGCAGTGGGCGCATTCTCAGGTATTGTGAATGATTGCAAATACTTCTTCCCCTTTATTATCCTTTATCTCCTTTGAGAATCCTGTTAATTGTCCTAATTTAATCTACTTCTTTCGCAACTCTCAGGATAAAGGTCGAAGGACTTATTGGGAACCCCGAATTCTAGTGACTGGTATCGATTTAGTATTGAGGACACTAGCTCAGTGATCAGTGTAAGTGGGGTTTCCTTGTTCTGGAATACGTGTATCTGGTACCAGGTGGGTCTAATTTCTCGGTAGTTGAGGTCAGTATTGTGACGTTCAACGCATGTGGTTGGTCTCTGTTAAGTAATAGGTTGTGAGAAGGGGGTGTCGGTCATGATATTTGGTAGTGCCTAGAGCTTTCCAGCATCTGCGGCACTTTGTGTGCTCGCCCGTGTCAGGTGTTCACGATGACATTCATCTTGGACTCGTACGCGAGTGGTGAACTTTGATACAAGTCAGAATCCATTCCTTCATTTTCTCTCGCGATGTGTTCAGCCCAAGTTAACGCCTATTTTGCCTAGTGGGGAGACTTGAGGCGCCGTACCTCTCGTCAAGAACCGCACGAATTAGTGCAAGGATTGATGCACATTAAGAGATCGGAAAATTGCTTACTACTTCCCATTGAGTAAAGAATGTTAAATGGAGCTGAATGCATGTGTTCCAGAGTGATTAAAGGGACCGGGTCTGAACTTGGCCCAAAGGTAGCTCACGCGTACAAAGGTCACACAAACCTTATATTAATTACAAGACGTCAGGTGGACATATAGACAAAGCATTACACTTGACACCTGCGAGGGTTGTTGCCATTGCCAAAGCGATCGCCACGCATCGACAGTCAAGCAGGATAGCAGCACGCATCGTAATGCAGATGGATGTGAAAAATTAAGAAACTTAACGTAATCATTATTTAACAAAAATTTCTCTTTTAATTTAGGCATTAGTATATGATAATGCACTTAAAAGAAAGTTGATATGGACTTGGCGTCTGGTTGAGAATATCTAAAAGTCTGGGACATTTAACTTATTTCTTTGGCATTTAACCCTATTACCAGTTTTAGTTTTCTTCGAAAAAACAAACGCTGGTTAGTCTGACATAAGAGAGTACGGGAACTTGTATTTCCAGAGTTAATTTGGTTACTCTAAGTGAGGTAATCCTCAAGGTCTTTCAATTTGTTCCCTGCCCAATTCGAGAGGCGGGTGAAATCAAGTGTCCCATTGGTTTGGTGACCCTCATGTTTTAGCTTTTGGAATGCTTCCGAGGATCGAAGTCGCTGTATATTTTATTATATGGGCTGCGGTTTTTGCGTATTCCTTCATCTTTCTTGTAATTTACTCTCACACTAAACGTATGGCACCTGTTATTTGGTTTAACCCTCCAGGAAATGTGTCAGCTTTTGCATTGTACTCCCTCCTGGATGCATCATGGACTGGACTATGGAAGGTAAATCATGATTAGTGTATCTAGACTTTAGGACACCTCTGAAAACGGTTGGAATTTCGTATACTTCTATTTGTCAAAAATTCCACTGATTATTGCATGGATTGGGACGCGCTTCTTCCTCAGGCGGAAAAAAGTCTATGAGGTGTGGTTTTCATTTTGGTTTCCGTATGATGTAGTTAAACTTAGAACTTCTTGTAAACGTTTTAGTCGTGCATCTGCTTTGCTCATTCTCTGCGCTATTTTTTGCAGTTGTCGTATCCATTGCATTTGCTTATATTGGTTATTTGTCGAAGTCCAAGTCAGTGGTATGGATAGCAACATTGTTGAGCTTTTTATTGCTTGAACAGTTCGTGAAGACTTCTACTGAGGTGAGTTGCTAGTTTGTGTTTTGGAGGATTTTGATTATTTCCTATGGCTTAACGACTGCATATTCGTATGCATATCCGTTGAGAATGTTTCGAAACGTTTCAAACCTGAACTAAAATTACACAGTTAGTTCAAATAAAATCCTAGAATACTCATTCATTGCCATTGTATAAGCATTGTTTTGGGAAAACCTCGTTTCGTTCGCCTAACTATGTTGGTAAATTTGTCGTCTAGCGCAACGAATATGGCAAAGTGGCGATTTTGCAGGGTAATGTGGCAACCATTTTGTTGCGAGCATCCAGTATCGGCCTGGAATACGCGAATTTATCTCTAACTACCTCTCTTACAAATTCTTCTTATGTGCCGAAAATGAACCTACAAGGCCTCCGTACTGTTATTGCATATGCCCTCTACCCACCGACCTTCTTATTCGGACCCATAGTCCTCTTCTCAGATTGGTGCGCCTTGTCCCATCTTTTTGAATCCGAGTCTAATCAATTGCCTCTTGAAAACAGAGGCTGCCTTCCTTCGCGCATTCCTTCATGCAACAGTCTGATGCAGCGAGGGCTCCGCCTTATAGTCTGGTTCATTCTCTGGGAGTTGACAATACATGTGGTTTATCCAAACGCTCTTGTCTTCGCACTCACTCAGCCCGCAATGCAAGTACCGGCCCCACCTCCAAAAGCAATGGCAAATCGAGTCTTTCACGCCAGTCCCTTTATTGAGACCGATCGTTCAGCTTCTGGAGTAGCGGTATATCTGCTTGGAATGCAGTTCTATTTCACGTATTTTCAACTTTACGGATGGCCTCGCTGGCTCTCCGACCTGGAAATTCTACTTACAAGCGGAGTTAGTAAAGAGAATATCATTTTATGTCTTGTGCCAGAGGGACCACTCTGTTTCAGCCATATCCTTCTCTTCTCCCAGTTGTGGAGGTGAGTAATAACCTACTGTTATTTTGAGTCAACTAAGGATATGCCATCTAGCGATATAAGCCTTTATAGATTGTTAAAATGGCTTTCCCTTTGCGCAGAAAAGGAGAAGACTAGACATAAATGGAATACTTCTCACATTCATATTTGCTAGATGTTTGACTGGTTCATCTTACCTTAACGCATGCCATTCACAGACATTCATTTATTAGTAAATAATTCAAAGTATTTTTCTTGTACTGTATTTGAGACTCATTTTCTTGCCGTCAAAATTAGTAACATCTTTGTTAACGTTTCGAGATTCTGGATATCTGCATTGTCTCACTTTCTTAAAACATCTTTGCATGGTCGAACAATCGCATTGGTCTTTTGCAGAAAATTCGACCAAGGCCTGTACAATTACCTCAAGTGGTGAGTTCCACTCCAGTCTTCGTAAAAGTTCATGCAGTTGTGACAACTTCCGCGCGTTTATGTAGTTATGTGTATTTGCCCTGGCTAAAACGTGGTAGGAGATCTTCCACCTACCGGAGAATCCAGGCTGGGATCCTTGCATTCCTCTTTATCCTCCTCTTTCACTCTTTCAACTTGGAGAATGGTAAGGTTTAGACGTCCTTGGCTAAAGCTGATTGCTGGCAATTTACTCGAAACTGTCTTAAAACAAGACTTCGAACAATTTTTTTCTGCGGTTTTGCTTTTCTAAATCTTGACCTAGAGTTGTAGAAATGTTGACTGTTTAAAGCTACTTCTGGTTAATTCATAACTCATGTCAATAATTTATCCCAAGTGGCTAACGGTGCCCTATCTTACACACCCATGTCGAACGGAGCCGCGCATGTGCCGAATTTCAGGCGAACTGTTCTTCATGTGTGGTCTAACGGTTAGTCGGTCTGTAGTCGTGGCAATACACACAACTGCTGAATGTCATGGCAAGTTTAGTCGAGAGGAGAAATAAGGGTGACACTTTAACCTGTCGTTTAGTCGCCAGTTCACTTATATAATTTGAATGAAACCTGTAGTAATACTCTGTACACATTGTGGTTGTTTGGCTTAGAGGAGGCACACAGTTAAGTGAGTTGTTAAACAACCGGCAAAACAGCTTTTCATTTCCTCATCAGATTCCTTCGCAACATTTAGTGGTACCATTCTTGACATCTGCCTTTCTATTTGCAGCAATTTGGGTCACAATAAACCTAGCTCAAATTCTCCTGGAACAGTTGATCAAATGGATCTACCGATCGACAGAAATTGGAATGATCTTGGTAATTTTCCGTTTGCATTGATTTGCCGAAAACCTTAACACATTCCTCAGCAAACACGACTTTCCCAAAACGCCAACCGTCGATTAGCTGGTATTCTCTGCAGCATCAGTGCCATGTTCTCCTCTGTTGGATTCTTTTTTTTCTACCTTGGTTTCGATTCGGGAATTTGGATCTTTTATCTCATGTTTTTGGATCCAGGTTAGCAATTCAGTTGCATGTTTACTTATAAAGCACGAGTAGAATCGTCGATGCAATCTATTTGTCTCGTTTTTAGTGTACTTGCCGATTTCGATTGTTCTTTACTACTGCACCTACCAGATGGCAATCGAGGTCCGACGAGTCTCGGAGGTTAAAACAAAATGCACTTGAATGCCATCGCGTTCGCATTCTTATTGTTACTCTTTCACCAGATCAAGTGACATCGAAACAGGCACCTAACTCCGCACATTAGTTGTAAGTGAACTATGGAGTATGGGCAACTTATGCTTCAGCATGTTGGGCCGCGTATGCGGTGCGCCTAATATTTGTGAGGAATTAGTGCGACTGACAGAGCTACTTGGGTGATTCGAGAGTATAATTAAGTGAGATTAAATAGAAGTTTATAGTTATGGTTATTTGTAAATGACTGCCGAACTTATTAGGCATAGATTCATGGAATTATAAGCAACCAGAGTAATTAAAAAGCCATATTGGGCTGTCTCACCTCACGTTATGCGAAATATTCAATAATAAGTGAAAGTACTCCTTGGAGATTGACTTTGACAAAAGCGAAGAACTTCTTTTTAAAGTGCAAGAACCGCAATTTGTCCTACCACTTGCTGAGTGCTAGCAAAGTCCGATATGGTGTAGTTTGGTGCGTTAAAGGCTCCGCTTGATTGAATCTGTTTTAAGAGAGGATTGTTTTGATACTTAAGCAGTGACCACAGATACGCACTGCCAACCTAGCAAAGCCGCTGCCGTTTTTCCTGGTAAGCAAATCTTCAATGTCTGCGAAGTGAAGCAGATGAGTATGTTAGTTTGATGCGCTCTAGTGGCTTCTTTGTTTAAAAATAATAACTCAGAGCGGTCACTTGTCCATCAAAGTGTTAATAGTGTCTGTTTTGTGACCTTATAGACAAAATTGCTGTGCATCAGGACAGGAATCTTAACAGTAAGTCAGGGCATTTTGCAAGAATCAACCGACCTTTTGCAACAACTAGGAGAGCATGGAAATGAATTGCATGCTAGCAATAAGTAAGCAAAGCCATCGTTGGGGAAATTAGTGAACCGAATTGGAGGTATTCCTACCAGTTACTAAAACTAGTGGTTACAACATATTTGTCATTTCTAGAAGTTTAGTCACCAAATTGCCAATGTTATGAATTTGAGAACATTCGCTGGAATTTGTTAGTGGTAAACGAGGCTACAAGTTCAACTTCCTTGAGGCGATTTTGGCATCAAAGTGGGCATCGTGCACACGAGTCAATGGGTTTTCCTTTTGCTGATTTGGGATCTAATCAATCTTTAACAGAAGTGGGTCAAGTGGGGATCAAAACAGCTAGTTCATGAGTAACATCAGTTTGGGTAATAAAAATTAGGGACGAAATAGTCGCATGTTTGGCTTTATTTGTTTACCAATACACTTGTTAATGCGAGAAAATGCAAGCGCATTTGCTAAGTTAAAGTGAGGGCAGAACGGTTTTTGCTTCTCTGAGTAAGGAATCGGATTCTGGTGAAGAAGTCTGTCAGTCAGCAAATTTAGAAGCGTTGTTAAGGTATGCAGTGCTTGAAGCATTACTTACGTCAAAATTAATTAAGAGGATGTTGTTGCATTTACGAAATCATCAACACTTATGAATGCGCTTCCTTCGAGAAACGCAACTCTTTTCGTTTGCATAAAGCACTCGAACAAAAAATGGTGGTGATGTCTTATGTTTGACGGAGAAAAGAAGATACATGAATCCGTTTGAAGACGTAATGGTGTGCGGACTGAGTATTGTGGGTGGTGCAGAGGACAAGGGGAAAATATGAAGGAAGTATTATGATTCGATGACAAACCCGGTGGACTAGAGATACGAACGATAATTCCACTCAAGTACACCGGTGTCCCCGTAATAAACACCGCTGTAACAAACTAAAAGTGAAATATCATGAGATTTAGAGGTGGCAAACTAGTGATTCCGGATTCTCAAGGCAAAGGAAATCATTTTTGAAGGAAGATTAGAAACAACCATTTCAGGAGAAGCTATTCTCAAACTTACAGTGCCAATTTCTAACAACAAAATTTGTGCATTGTTTTCCTTTGACAGTTGGCTTGAATGACTCAGAAATTTTTTCCGATGGGATTGGAACCACAGGAATAGAGTCATTAGAAAATCGCAAGGAGGTGAAGTAGCCACGATCGATGAATGTCCACGAGTCTCCAGAGTCGTTACTCATTAGGTAACTATCTTTCGTGAGGGAAATCCCGAGCATTACGTTCTTCGATCTGATGTAGGACACTACTTGGGCGATTTGAGGCCCCAGATCTGAGAAGCAATGTGACAATGAATTGAGGAAAAGCCATCATTAATGGCTACCTCATTTGTCCAGAGTTATCATTCGAAACAGGTGAAAGCTTACACTTCCACAGTCGCGGTGATTTGTCAAACGCACGAAAGCAGGCAGAAGACGGAGTTGTGTATGCGTGTAGGGACGGAATGCAATCACAGAAGATTACAAAATCTCTGCCAGCAACGTAGCCTCGTTGTGGCTGTAATGCATTACATTCCCTTTCCTTTTTTTCCGCTGAGGATGCCTGACAAGGATCTTTGATTTTTGGCACAAATTAAAGGAGATTTAAATGTTTTACCAAAAAGTGTGCAGAACAGCGCAGCTCAGTGCTTTATTCCGTAAAAAATTAGTCAGGTTAGGGGTGCACAAATGTGCATCGATTCCACAAAAAACTTACCGAAATCGCCCATCATCTTTAAGCCATATGTACCAAAAAAAGCCATTTTGATGTCTAAATTTTCATGCTCATAGTAGGCGTTCTTAATGATGAGCCTCAGACCGCGATGTTGGGGCAGGCTATTGAGGGACACATTGGTCTCCAACGCTGCTGCAGGAAATGCAAGCGACTTCTGACAAGTGGCAATAATCAAGTGCATCAGTATCAAAATTACCTCTACTTGAAATAAAAATGAATTTCCATCTCCTGTTGTTAGCACGTGCATTGACGTTGGCCAGTTTTGCTTAGATTTTATTCGGATAGTTAAAATGTCGATTGTGACGGATTGGCCGAAAAGAATATCCAAACGACTATCAGCACGAGCATTCCAAAACTTATCCATTCCAGATTCGTAAAAGAGGTCTTCCACATTGCCACAGCCTCGGACTTGACAGAGCCGTAAATGAATATGAGAAAGAGGTGCAATTGCGTCTAAAAGAGGGAGATGTAGAAATCTGAGTATTTTGAAGACAACGAAAAGCCGTGGAATAAATGCACCACAGAATTGTTTAACCCAACCTCCAACCTCAATGGGGAGGAGTGCGTGATTCTGAAAGAAGGTGGGTGGCTCGTATGATCGGATCTTTGACCCAAGAGATCTGTCGTATGTCCTGCAGCGCAGTATGCCAATCACGCCAAAGCCAAGATTTCCTTTCACCTTAAAAGGTATTCTCTGCTTCAGAGCAAGTGTCATTATGCCAGTTGAATCAAAGTATACGCCACCATGCTAAAATGAAGGCACAGAATTAGCTGCCGCACATAAAGAAAAGAAACTGATATAAAGGTACTTCACAGTATGCAACAAATAGTGGAGTAATGCGTTACCTTGACAAGGGAAATGCCAGTACCACTGGGAAGGGGAGCTAAATCAACCTTCATGACACTGTTTCTCATTTTCACAGTGCTAACATTGAAAAAACCGCCATGCATCAACCATATGGCCGCGTCGTGACATTCGAGAGTGGAGGCTTTTGCAATGCTCAGTTCCAGATCCAAAATGTATTTGCCGCTGGCATTGGAAAGAGAATCTCACTTTAAAACAACAAAGATTCCCTTTCATAGTTTAACTAGGTATTCCTAACAAATGGAAGCGGTGTGCAGTCCTAGCCTAAAACTAGGCGGCAAACCCGTAAAACAAGACCATTATTCAAGCATGTAAAATTACGAATTTATAAATTAGTCATTCTCGGATTTCATGCATTCTTGCACGCAAATATCCATTTATTTGTATAATTAGGATGCCATTTACAGGATGGCACATCAAGCATGTTTTTAGAGTCGCCACTGAAAAAAAGTAGCGTTCCAATGTGAAGCTCACCTCCCGTTACGCTTTACATTAATAAAGCGTATTTCTACATTCAGTGTAGGCGATGGTTGGTCGATCACTTTGACGGACACCCTCAGCTTGAGCAGAAGCTGGTCGTCATTGAAGATTTTCGTGAGAACTGGGTAGACAGCACCAGAATACACCTCTTCGGCATCAGCTAGTTGAAATGTCACTTCGATGCCGATACAGTCGTCGGTGGTTTTCGGCAACCGGTTCTTCTTCTTATAGCCGTAGCCTGATAAGCAGCAAAAATTCAATTAAAACACACTTGTGTATGGGCAAAGGCAAACAATGTTTGATGCCTTTATTAAAGCACAAGTAATTGCTGAACCTTGCTCACCGGTGTTGTAAGCAGGACCAGCACCAATTTTTCTTGAAAATATTTGACCACTCGGCTTTCTGAAGCTAACTTGCTCCTGCGATTGTGGGAACTGCAAACCTACTATGTTGACAGAGCGATTAAAACTAATGCAGTTTATGGTAATGACTTCCTCCGTTTCAGGACTAAATTCCGAGAGGGCTTCAAAGCTCAGGTTGTTGATGTAGACTCCGGGACGTGAGCAGAAGTAAAGTTGTAAAGTTAAGGTCTCCCGAGAATACATTTCGACTTCATGCGGTCCGGAAAATCGAAGTGACAAATCCTAGCACAAAGTCAAAATTGACGACCGATTGGTTTGTGTTAATGAAAGCAATAAAATGAAGCCAAACCATTTTTTAACGGCTACACGTTGACCCGAAAACTAGGTATGCATTAAAATCTGTGTTTCTCCAAGGAAGCCGTTTCCTCGTCAAAAATTAATTTTAAATCATGGACCGAAAATCCAACCTACAAACCCAGCATTAGGGTTTAAAATGGACACTTCGTCAAACACTGCACCTGATAAACTAAAATCCATGGCATATGATCCTACGGTCTCAAAGCAAAGAAAAACACTAGAAACAAAACTGTTTTAATTTCCAATATTGTGCATTAAAATTATTGTGTTCAAGATAAAATGGCCTTTTTATCTTCAAGGTACACATACTTCATCAAGGAAGGGAAAGCCAAGCTTCCGCGGCGACTCATCGGAGATCGACAGAGACTTGGTGACCTCCAAACCCTCAACTACTCCCCTTAGAGTCAAGACCTCCTTTCCTTTGAAAGGAGTCGCTTTTATCCGCATGTAAATGCCCAAATTAATCTATTTTATAAGAATTCAGGAAAAAGAATGCTATGAGATTAAGCGGCTACACTTACGCCGTCATTACGAATGGGTAATCATAGCTACCTTGTTGTCAGTGTCACTGTCACAAATGGCGGGACCAAGGTGGTAAGAGTACTTCAGCAATGGAGAATCTCTGAAAGAGCACGTTGTGCTTCAGCATTGCTCTACAGATCATTACCTTTTATAAACAACGTACTATGAAACCTGTTAAAAGCAAAATGCAGTAGAGCAGTAGTTTAGTAACGGATGTGATTTTTATGCTTGATGCAAATGCTGACGTTATGTAATCCTGCTATGCGAGTAACTGTTTTGATGGTCGAGAAAATGTGATGCAACATATTTGTTCACTTGTCGGAAACATCAAGGCAGTGACTCAACTCAAATCTCGTTTCTAACTTTGAATAGACAAAATAGACTTGGCTGCGAACTTTACCGTAGTATTAGCTCTAAGAATGTCGTTATCACTGCAGCCTGACACGTTCATTCTTTGGGTTGCAGTCACTTTTTGGCCTAGATGTGACCTATTTTTCCAATGGTCAAAGAGACTTTTTAGAAAGACGAGACGTACGTGATATCTTTGGTGGTACAGTCGACAGTAGCTTCATCCAAAAATATGCTCTTTCCTACTGACTCAAAGTACGGACAGCCAAGTGTGGCACTTTGACTGTCAACAATGCTAACTGTTGCTGTGTAGTCCACAGTCGATTTCCCCGGAATCCGGAACTCCATCAACACCAGAACAGTTTCACCGGATTGCAGAGGATGTTGCACCCCTTCTCTTGTTTCCACATTGACAATGCTTAACTTTAAGTCATATGGGTTTCCAGGCTAAACATTCAAAAAAACAGAGAGACGCATCATTATTCTAAAGCTTCATCATTTCAAAAAGATTACGCCTAGAATAATTAAAAGTAGTTGCAGTATAAGCATATCTTGGCTTAAACGGTGCTCTATAACACGTTTACAATAGCTAAATTCTAAACAGAAGTGCATCCGTTACAAAAACCCATTGCATTACCTTCAAAACCTCCAAAAATGGTCGAGAAAATTTCTTTGTAACATTTGACCACCTTCCATTGTAATTAGCTGCACACGATAAGACTCCCAAGTTATCTTCCCTTCTTGTCATAGGAACTCTGATATCCGCGAGGATTAAATTGGACCGATTCACTTCTCCTAAAATGCCATTTTTTAAATGGGCAGTAAGGATGCTTACATGACTATGTTTGCTAAAATGTTAAGGTTTGATTTAACAGAAACACGCAGCACCTACCAGGAGAGTAGATGTGTCCCAGGTGCAATGAGTTTGATTGACAGCCAATTTCCATCGAATAAACGTTTGGATAGGCCAAATTAGTGAACTTCCACGGACTCAGTTGCATAACTCTAGTAATTTCCTTATTTTTATTATTTCGTGCTTCACATCGAATTGAGAAATTTCTCATGTATCCCTCAATTGGTCCAAACGCATAGTGAAATGTAAGGAAGCTCTCGACCGGGGAGCCGCAAAGATTCAAACTGGATCCGGCAACAAACTCAGAGGGTGCCTAACACATCAGGAAATACATCTTTGAGAGCCTTTCTCCGGAGTACTAAGGGCCTATTCAATTTATGTCTTGTTTTTCGCCTAGCCTGAATCAGACAGACATCAAAGACTTGGTTGTACGTGGCTTCGCAACTCAGCGATGCAAGCGGCTGCCCAAGTTTTTGAAGCCGGTTTTGGCAATATTTAGTTGTAGTGGTACCATCCTACTGGATGCATTTCAATGACTGTCACGTCGAGGTAATTTGTTAAAACTAACCTGAAAGAATTTTCGGGTCTCACAATGGATTGCTTCTGCTCTTTTGCAACAGTCTACTGATACTACCTGCCTCCCTTGCTATCAAATTTCTGTTATGAAGAGACGCGCATAATGAATAAGGCATGGGAAAAGTGCGATGATACATCGTTTTAAACTTACTGGTTGAGAAGTTTTAGCAAACTTTAATGAGACTTCTTTAATGCCTCTTTGGCTACCAACTGCCACAGAAACAGCAAGATGTATCACACTTGGACCATCATCGGCAAATGTTAGGTAGAGTAGCCAAGTCAAATATCCAGTGTTACGCATTACACCCTCTTGTGTAATTTCGGCTCTTAAGCTGAAATGTGAGACGAGTTAATGTGTTAATCTTCTAATATAAATAGCAATTCTGGAAGCGCATTTCACTGTTCCCAAAGTCAAAGTCGTGGGTGTTCATGATTTGAACAGGATCAGCGACACTCAAAAGAAGCACACTTACCCAAGTGACAACAGCTCCCACAGAGGAGTCGAAGTCCTTTAAATAACGCCCAATTTGTATCTGAATCATCGTCTAGCTATTGCATTTTCATTTTAGCAACAAATTCACTATGTTTAGATTAAAATCATCGAGAACATATTTATTAGCAAAGATTTTTAACTGGTAAGGGCTCCGGTCAACCATAAAATCGGCCTTTAGAGCATTTCAAGAGACTAAAATATACGTCTTTTGCACTTCCAGTCCTAGTTTCGCACTTTATTTATGTTTAAAAACAACCAGCTATGACCGGTTTTTAAATAGACTGCACCTTCTCATCTAAACTACAACTTCACCCATTCAACACCCTGTGGTCAGTGTATGGGCCAAACCTTTGGGAAAGAAGTGATAATTAGAAACAGGAGCATAATGGGCGAGAACTGTCTTAGTTTATGACACAAGATGGACTTACGGTGCTAAAGTCAGCTTTGGTTTACTGTTGGACATTGTTGCAACCCATTCGCTAGCAAGTAATTCCACTTGCGAAGGATAGACAGTTTCATAAAACGAGTCACATGTGATGTTGGCGGAAACAGTGACATTCTGACTCGCTGACAATCGTGTCAGTATACTTAGAATCTGAACCGAGTAAGGATGCACAAAACCGAACTTCGGGTAATAAAAATCAACTGTAATCTAGAAGAACATGGTATACGATGAGTCATGCCTCTAAGAATGAGGAAGGGTAAATAATTAACTCCTTTTGTTTCATCAACACAAAAAATTTGGTCTTTTTTTGAGACAGTGCAAACAGTTTTCCAAACGCTGCGGATACTTCCGAACCACAAAGACACAATTATCTTATAATTTTAAACCTTTTCTTTATGTGGGTATTGAATCCCAAATTACCTCTGTTTAATGCTTCTCCTCCACATTCCACTGTATTGAAATTAAGCAACCATGTGACTGTGATTGAGACTATGTCACACGCTCCCACGTCAAATAACCTACCCAGTCCGTTGTTCTGAAGCTGAGGCGCAGTTTTTTAAAATCATGATGCGCCTTAAGTTTCAAAGTGACATCCAAGTCGTAGGTTTCGGACGAGTGTTCCGTCACAAGTAGATTGAACCGCACCATAAACGAGCTCAGTGGAAGTGAATAATTGGGAACCAGAGCAACTGTAGATGGTGAATAAGATACAAAATTACTTATGTTTGAGGCCCAAAAACACAACTAATAAAATTTTTGGATAAGCGGCTCATCTTGTTCTGTCACACCACTTAAACGCTATGCTGCCACATAAGTCCTAAGAACAGCAGCGCAAAAAAATAACCCAAGGGCGAGCGATAAAGTGTCAGGCACTTCAGCAGTGCATAATAATATTGAGGAGGGAACTAACTCAATCAGTTTATATGAAACGAAGGAGTCCCGATAAGGGAAAATGAGAATAAAGTAAACAGGACATCTTCTTTACTCTACCACTTCATGTGGTAGGGTAAAAGAACCACTGTTTGGTTTTTAGCCAAGTCCATCAAGAAAATTGTTTAAAATGGCAGTATCCCAAATTCCAATAGCGATAAAATGGTGCCTCTGGGTGATGACTGGGTCTACAAATATTCACAAAGAGACCAACTGTAGTTTTCAAACCTGAACGCGAAGACTTCTTCGAGGAAAATGACATGATTCAGTGTGCTTAGACCTCGAATTTGGGTACTTTAAGATCCTTCTGGTCTTGAAATGCTCAACATGAAGGACCGGGTTTACACTCACGATAATTGAAGCTCGTATACAGAATGAGAGAGACAGTGCCGCCAAATTCCTGAAGTTGTGCCGTCGCAGTTATTCCCTTCGGGTAGCCGATTGTCGTTTTGTGAATTTCCATGTTTTTGCTCATTAATTTGATGTCGAGCTAAAATTAAAAAAAGCATTTAGATGAATGAGGCGGCTTTGTACAAGAAGAATTTTGGCCAGAATTTCTTGTCATTGAATTTGCAAATCGCTTAAAGTAGAACGAAAATTCAGTAAAATATGTCCTGGTAACATAAATGAAAATATGCAAATGTGCAAATCTATTGCGACATTCGTCCTGGACGCAACGCGCCAACTGATCATCTGTAGCGCCAGATAAATTATGGCGTCGAATTTATAAAACCTCGGCGAATAATATTAAATGGAAGAAAGTTTCAACAGCTGAGTGGAATTTCCAGGCAAAAATGCGATAAAATCTCGTTACCTGGTATTGCCCCTCAAGTACTGTTCTGACAGCCAGATGAACTTGGCTGTACACGCCAGGTACAAGGACAGAATTGTTCGAAACATCCGACAGAGAGGGTTTGTACGACGGAGAGACACCGCTTTTGACAATCGTGAAGGGAATTTGTACGAGCTTAATTTCAGACCTTGTCACAGCCACGGTCACCTCAAGAAGAGCCTTGATGGGTGACTGTAACTCTTTGCTTGGCGGAGCAATCACCACCGCGTTGATGTCCAAGCGGTTACAAGCGTTGGAGGAGTTTCGACTTGACACTTTAATGCGGCCTAACGCCATTTCAGTTTCTATCTGTGGTGATGCAAAAAAGCAGATTTTAAGAGTAGGAAGAGAAATTGTTAACAGAGCACTACGAACAGATCCATCCTAACAGGTATTCTTGTCCCAACTGCATGATAATTCGCTAATAACTTCCACGACCACAGTAACGTTGATAATAATCTAGGAGACCAAATGATTATATTTACTTTTAGAAATAAATAAAAATAATTGCAAAGTCCCCCAAAAAATTTTACTCTTTTAAATGGTTATCGTCTGATTTTTTTCTCCTTTTCATTGAAAGTAATTTGTTTCGTCAATTCGAGTCATTTAGCTGTTTGTCTTATGAAAGGAAAATTCAGTCACAGTCGCTTATCTCTTCTGAAGAGATAAGACGATAGTCATCAGGTGTGAAGCTAGGAGAGATTTGGAGAATGGCAGTGGGCAAACTTCTTCCTTTCCTTTTCTCTCAACATTTGGCATAGGCAAATCACCAGAAGAATTAACTGCTGAATTAGTCAACCAAACCTCAATGTTTCTGAATAAAAAATTTTAAGTTTCAAACTGCATTGTATTCAATGAATAGACCACAGCTTCTCTCTTATTTGATCAATTTGAGGTCGGATGTTTATAAGGAAAATGTTTGCCCAAAGCTAGCCATGAACACGGCATGCACTTATTGTTGAGGGTAACTGACAACTTCATTAAGTAGTGGGAGAACATCTTCATAAATTGGAGTGGCCATTAAAAACAGTTGTGGTCATGTAAAGGATGGTGTCCCAGAAGTGAGTCCAGTGTGCCAATAGAAATGTGGGTGCAGTGCAGCTTGCATATTTTTGATGAAACAACTTGCATTGGGGAATGTATGCAAGCACCGGTCTACTTGGCAATAGTCTAAGTCGGGACAGTTCAAATGCTTATTTCACTTAGACCTTGTGCGACACCGACATTTTGACTAAAGTTAAAAGGATTGGTAGGAAATGAAGCTTGCAATTTTATGACTATGTTATCGTTACTTTTTGTCTGTTTCTGTAGTCATTTTAAATTGTTAGCTCCGGCAAAGGAATTGGTGTTTTTGTATAAGTTAAATTTGATTGCTAAGGAAAGTTACAAAATAAACTGACCTTTCACTAGTGCGTCTCCCTTCTCTTTAATGAATAAAAATATAATTAAGCCAGGCAAAACCACTTCCTCTGAATGCTCAAACCTTAAGGCTTTTTAAACGAGGTAGCAAATAAGATTTCTCATAGTGCTTAAAGCTTGAATACAAGCAAAATGTTTTATGCAAATGCACTCTTCTGACAGCAAATATAAGGTCTAGAAGTGCTTACATCATATTTTGCTGAAACAGTCTGATTGGCCGAAGAAAGATGAACGTTTGCATCTGCTTTACCCACACCAATGATACGAAGGGATCCGCCTGTCAGAAATCGGCCTCCACTTCGGAGTCCCCGTAGTCGCAGAAAGCCGTCCACAGGGTCACCAAATGGGAGACAAAGACAAAGAGTTAAGAATGTCCCAAATCCAGGCGATGTCGGCTCCACAGTGGACGGAAGAATTGTTAAAAGTGGAGGCTTTGTTAACTGAAAATTTTCGCAAAATAGGGTCATTCCGCATTCTCAAAGTGCTAACCAACGGTAAAGTTATCCTCATTTACAAACTAACCAACCTGACCAAAATACAGTTTTTACAGACCCACTAGAACCATTTAATACATACTAATTTCACCGTCTTAAGGGCTCCTTGACGACGTTGAAACACAAAAGTTTGAAATAATTACACTTACATTCGGTCTCATGGGAGACACACCGCTTGGACTTCCAGACACCACTTTCACATGAGTGGAACTAAAATCTGCAGCAAACTCTCCAGCATTCCTTGCTAACACAGAGAAACTACTTATTCCCTTAGACTTCCAAATTTTGAAGTGTTGCAACGACTTGAAAAATACTTCTCCATTCGAGCTTATATTAAACAAATCTTGTTCATCCTGCGTGTAGTAGAGTGAATAGTTGATAACTTGACAGTCACCCTGACGTTGTTCTTTTGAGGGCGCACAGAGATCTATGTCTGTAGCCACTATTTGGGCAACGGGTTCTGCATAGCTTCTGCTTTCAGTTACTACCAGGATGGCCGACTTCCAGAATGTGGGTGGGTTGTTGTCTTTTGAAAGAATAAAAACAGCCGTAAAATGTATTTATTGAGTGAAAATATGCTAACTGTGATGCACGATGTCTACTTCGTCAATTATGATTCGAAAAATAGCTCCTGACATATTTTCTTCTCCATTAGTTTCGTCAACTTTGGGTAGTGCCCACGTTCACTAGAATATAAAACTGACTGCTGTGGTTATGTGCACAGGTTTTGCACACTTCTGGCCACGTTTTGGGGAGAATGGCTCTGAAGTGAGCAATAAAGAATGAAAAGAAGGATGGCAATTCGGCTGTCAACATAGCGACAGGTGATTAGTTGACCTAATCACATGACCGCATGATTAAGTGAAGCACATGGTCTGCCCATTCATTAAGCAATTTTGCAGAGGTTACTGCCCTAGTGGAAAATTAGTCTTAAAGCAGGTGAACTAAAAAAGGTAGGTTTCCATAATTTTTCAAACGCTAACAGTGTATAAAACAAGTGGAGAAGATTGGAACACCAAGAAACAAAGTCTTTGGGTTTGGTTCCGTGGTCAAATGTATGATGCGAAGCCAAAGCTGCTCTGTAGTTAAGTGTCAGTGACTATTCCTTAATACTCTTCCAACTGACCAAATATATCAGGCATTCTTCAGTCCAAATATTACTCAAGCTTGAAGAGCCTAACAAACTCACAGGGTTGATCACAAGAGGCGCCGTGTCTGCAAATCGGGCATTCCGAAGGAGGGAGAAGGGTATCACTAAAATTGCGAGCAAAGATCATACACAACAAAGCATATTGCAAATTATGTGTTCCCTCTTTTTGTGTGCAAAAAACAAGCGTTGAAATATTTAACTACATGCTGAGAAATTATTTAAGCCCTTCAATTTAAATGCCTGTAGTAACTCCTCTTGCATTAGCATAATTATGCACTTCTACCACTATGGTTTCTCGGAAAGATGGGCAATCAAATTTCCTTCAACTGCAATTTGTGATTTTAGGACTGACATAGAAATATTGACTGAATGCTTGCCTGATAATAAAGTGGGACATGAGGTCAGGCACGTACATGATATCCTTGCAAGCTTCCTTTTGAGTCCATTTTAAGCCTTCCGGAACAGCGGCATTTATTAGCGAGATAGTCAAGAGAACCCAGAATTCCATGATGATACCAGTGCTGACAATGGGAAGTAACATTTGAATTGACTTGTAACTTAATGCCGTATAAAAGACCACTTCCCAGCCAATCATGAAACAATCCGGGGATTGCTTTATGGATGCAGACATGAACGTCCATTAAACGGCTAGTAAATCGGACGTCTTAACTTTTACTTTACAAAAAAGCCACAATACTGCATATAAAGCAGAATGAATCTCGTATAATTGTTTCAGCTTCGCGCTTACAACTGTACATGTTCGCTCGATTCGAAGAATGAACTCTGGCCCTTAAAATCTGTAAGAAAAATACTTCATTAGAGCAAAGGGAATAGATGGTCCAGTGCTTTCATCATTGGTTTGTCTTTGTTTTGGTTTCGAGAATATCTAAGACTTTTGAAACAGTGATACCTCCAGGTATTCTCATGCTTTGGTGTTAAGCGTTCTGCTTTAGAAATATCAGATCACCTACTGGCTTCAGGGCAGGCTTCGGTTGCTATATCACTGTCGAAATAACGAATGCAACCACTTAGTTTCCACTGAAAAAAACAATAAATGAGTGAATGGTTCAATCCCCAACCCCTGGATTTTGATTTTTGTTAATTTCGCACATTGAAATTAATGGAGTCACCGAATGCAAGAGGCAATAGCGCACAACAGGACTAACCGAGACCCAAACCACCACCGGTCTATGCTTAGTTCTGTCAGTAGTGCTAAGGAAAGAGTAATGTCATCAATAGGTGTCAAGGCATTCGCCAATGTACAAGTGTACATCCTCAACGATCACGTAATCATTACTATACGACATGCATCCGTAGAAGACCATACAAAGTAAAGCGAAAATTACCATCAGTCATTCTCTGTCACTCTACAGATTCTCTTGAAGTGCTTAGCATAGACTAACGCTTCCACTTAGTTTTAAGAAACTTCATATCCATTTTAATCCCCTGTAGGATTTCACAAGTGTCTCTTTAAGTCTTATCTTTGGAAAAGAGTTATCTCGTACTTTGGTCACTCGATCCTTATCCAGTAGATTGAACCAAGAAGTATATCTACTTCTCCTTCTCCACGAAGTCTCAAGAAAATGCATTGGTTGCCACAGAACCCAAATCTCATCTTAGAGGACATCAGTCTCAACCGTGCTGTGTTTCACAAGAAAGTTATTAACAAAAGGAGTGATCTTCTTAGAGAGTTTCCCACTCTTACGTCCATAAGTATTTTGATAAAGAAAATCCACGATATATCCTTCTTCTCTACCAGTTAAAAGAGGAAAATGTGTGTAAAATTTTTCAAAGAAGTGGTGCTAATAACCCACACCTAAATATATCCTTCTTACTTACATAAGTCTGTTTTTTGGGTATGATTTTGTCTCCAGGTCTAAAAAAATACTTTCCAAAGGGGATTGAACTCCTGTTATATTTGAGTTGCCGAGAATGACCAGGAACACCACGAGTAAATCGCTTCTCACTTGGGCAGGAATTTAATTAACCGGTGGGTGTTCTCGTTAAACGCTGTTTCTGTTGTGTCGGCCGGCGCGGGAGGTTTATGAGAGAGGGTATCAAAACCAATGCTTAAAAAATACGTTAGATGTTTGGTAGCATTTGGTAGTAGTAAGGAACCCTTTAGTTAATTGTTAAACCTTCGCTGAGTGATGTGGAATTTGTGCCATGGCGGTAACTCCTGGCATTTTTCGTTCGCTGAGAGCAAACACTACCCGATTACTCTTTCTGCTTTAGTCTTCGGAGAAGTTTTAAGACGCTACGTGTGCTTTTCACTTGAATTGAGGCACAGTTTCCAGGCACTGAAATTGGACAATTTTGTCTGCAAAGAACAGCCTAAATTAATCCTAATTGTCTAAATGAGTCGAAACTTCGTTGCCATACAGATGAAAAAGTTCGAATTTTCGGTTGAAGAGATGCATCTCATCAATTGGAGATCGGGAGGCAGAGTTGGTGTTAAAACAGTGATTGATGTCAAGACTGAAATTCATTGTAGTCTTAGAGGTGGTCCAATTCTCCAACTGCTGGGAATAAAATAAACTAATTCAGTAGATTGCAAATAAAAGCAAACGTTGGAGCATTTCACCTAATGGACAATGAAGTCCTTCCACACTTGTTAATGCATCAACAGCAGTGCACTTACAGTTGAGCTGGAAATGTCGGCACCTACCAGTTCTGAGACTTCACTTAGGCAAGGGAAGATGGCATAATACTTCGGCAGAAAGGAAAGAGGAATCCAATGCAGTCGTGGCCAACATCGTCAGTCAAAGAACAAAGCATTACAGCAACTTCAAATATTGTCGACTGTTTTGCTGATTCCAAAGTTTGTTTGCGCTCTCCAACACCCTTTCTTGTATGTAAATCTTACAAACCGTGTGATTTTTAGCGACTCTGTTAGATATTAATATTTGCGACTCCACTGTTGCTTTGTGGACAAAATGACCATCCTCGTCGGCAAAAAAAGTATACTTGCCTTTAGTTTTGAAGCGAACAAGTTTGGCCATCAGACAACTTGAGCCTGCCAACAGAACAGAAGGGTGGAGTTAGCCATATCAATTGGGACGGGTTCAAACTGAAAACACTTTGAAGCAACGACTGATACGCCTTTTCAGACAGTGACTAGTGGTTACTAGTTTGCTCTTCAAAGCAATCTGAGCTCTTTCACCACTTTATTTGTCAATTAGCGAACCCGTGAAGCTTTTACAGTAGGAAATTTGAACTACAAGCACCCAAAGTGGAGTAGTTTAGCCATAATAGGAGTGATCGCTTAGTATTTTCATAAAAGACTAGTCTTTTACTGTCCAAATTTGTCAAATTCCTTTGGTGAAGCAATGTCTGTGCATTAAGAAGATGTTGAGGTGTGCAACGATCTAGTAACTGCTTTAGCCGCTTCAGTCTGTTTACGTCAATCACCTTGCGACTTGTTACCGAATCCCACAAATATCCCACCAACGATTCTGCCATGAAGGTCAACCCTAAGAGGCCATAAGATGGTAAAGAAAGCACAGTAGGAGTTGAGGCAAGCTTAATTTATAATAGTTATTTTCTTGACGTGTAGAGTTGCAAGTTCCCGTAAATAGCGGAGGCCGTATTTGAAGGCAAGTAATGCACGTTACTTACATAAACTTCGTGTGCTTTAAACTCTTTGCAATGAGTCTTTATTTAGGAATGTAGAATCAAATAACCAGATCGCATCCAAAAATTAGGCAACTGCTCTCGATGTTTCAAAACAAATAAGCGAAGTGGACTACTTACTCCCTAAGTATTGTTGTATTGCTTCTTTGCCCATCATTTTTTTGCCCCTTTTATTGTTTGGAGGCAGCTCCATAGATTGACTTACCGATGACAATGTGGATAGACTAAGTGACTTGGGCGCATCAGAATATGAAGGGCAGGGAGAAACGGACACCGTATAATGGCACTAATTGGATTCTTATTAAAAAAGGAAAGGTCGATGACAAATTCGAATCATATCATCCTCTTTTACACAAATTTCAATTATTCCAGTTATCGATAATTCAATCTACATCAATGCAACATCAAAACCCACCTTATGGTAACAACGTTTTACCCAAGTACAGCATTTCCTTTGCTGTGCGTCGTCAACTGGCGATCATGGTATTCTCACTTGTTGTTCGCCTACAAGTGATATGTCACTATGATAAGTAGTTAGGAAGTGTGAGACCCTCGTTGTTTGCCCAACCTCATGGAAGCTCTACCTTTGTATTCCCTTTGAGCGGTCTGGTCTTTAGGCCTAGCCAACAGCATCAAACCCTCCTCCATGCTCTCTCCCTTTTTCATCGTTAAAAAGCGTCAAACCGCTTGATCACGCATTGGAATAGTCGGAAAGGCTAGCGAATTTGATTAAGTTCTGAGCCTGAACGAAAGGCGGAGGTTTAACTATAGTGCTGAACGAAATTTATAAAGCGATGAAAAATGTACGCATGAAAGCAAAATCGACGATCTGCTGTCCGGATTTAATGATAGACGTCTCAAATTGCTTTTTTATTACTATGGACAGAAGACTCATGTTAAGAGTTTAGTTAGGTTAGAACACTTAACACTTTGGATTTGAAATAGTAATGCACATGTGTGTTAATGGAAGGCACAAAGTTCCCATTAATTCGCTTCTGCCTATACAGCACCTACTTTTCGCATTCAGCTGCAAACTTCTATGTTGAAGTGCAGCGTCCGAGGCCTCCCGCCAGGTAGAAGAAGGCATTGCGTTGGGCTGAATACATGTATTTTAAAGGAAACAGAAGGCATTGGACGTTGGCTACATTGACATTTACGAAGACCAGACGGAAACCGAAGCAGCTGCCTGACATCAGGCAGTCACATAAGCAAAGTATTACACTGTCCTCCTCTCCTTTTCAACAACGCCCTCTGTAATGCTTTGTTTATGTGACCACCTGACGTTTGGCGGTCACTTTAGAAGTTGCTCGGCCTCTGTACACGTGGGCTGGCCTTCGGCCACGCTCAGGCTCCATTTGCCCTGTCGTCTTCGGAGTACCTGTATTCACCCTCACTTATGCCTTCTACTACCCTCGGACGCTGCACCCTCGACGACATCACACCATGTTTGGTACTGCAGGAATGCACTCACGAGTCAGCCGCGCCAGTCACCAACCACCATGAGACTGAGCAACGGCACTTGGTCCCCTTAGCACCTTCAACTGCACCTGGACTTGTGTCCGGTCTGACAGTTAGCATCAGGACCACATACATCTGTTGACAATCAAATGCTCCCAGGACTAAATGTTGGAGCACTGGTCTAAAACGGGTGCATTAGCAAGGAAGACGGGATCAGGCACAGTCTCATGTAGAAAGGGCTCCAGAGTAGTGTCGTT